GATGGTCACAAACGGCTCAGAAGTACACTTAGGGCCTTGTCTAATAACCTGCAAAATTAAAAAGGAAATATTTAGTAAGACTTTAGTAATGATTAAATGAGCCCTACACAAATTGGCATCGTACCAAATGGGAGACACTTTAATGTGCTCTCATCTCATGAATTAACTTTTATGCGCATTGTATGTGCAGACAAAAACATTGGTAGCCTAATTATGGCACAGACCATCACTTTTTTTAGTGTTCTATATTCAAACATTAGTGGTCGAATTCTTCGTGAATTAAAATGATTTAAAGCATATCTTACACTTTAAGAATTTCCTTTGATACCAACCAGAGCAGAATGGGTTTCTCCGCTCAGGCTTGTTTTCTGTCTTTGGGGGTTTTTTGTTGCTTTAGCACAGCCTTTGATTTTTCTAATGGCTGTACCTTTGGGGATTTTTATTGTGGGTTTGTTTAGTTTGAATTTGGGTGGGTTTTTTTTGGGGGGGTGGTGAGAGGAGGGGGTGGAAGTGAGAAATTTGTGTTTCTGGGTTACAAAATAGAAAGCAAGCCAGAGGTTTTTTCAGGCTGTCTTCCTCAAAACTCTGCAAAGGCAAAAGGTTAGGGAGAGCCTGGAGAGGACAGAGACTGCACAATATTGTTCAGCTCTAGTGACCAGTAAGATGGAGAGCTTTTCTTGGTGTTCTGGGTACTTGTGAGAGTGAGAGTTGCTGTCTTCAGAGTGCTTAATGCCATTAGTATATGGTTTTTGGATTTTGCCCCTACACTCAGCTAAACCTGTGGATAAGTCCCTTGATTATAATTTCCTTTCATCAGTCTGTGGTTGTGTCTGTTCAATTTAAGAGTAGCACACTTGATTCCTGCTTGTAAGCTCCCCCCTCTCCTCTGATCTGCATCTGATCCACTTTCTGGGGAGAGGCCAGGTGTCTGAAACTGTGAGTTTAGCTGTTGAAAGAGGACTTTCCAAGCATTGAGCATCTCTTGCAAGCACACACTTATTTCCATTGTGGAAGTTTCTCGTGACCAAATTGTTTTCCCCATGCTGGGGAGTGTGCTGCCTCTGTGCACAGCACCAGTCACCTCTGCAGTCAGCACATGTGGAGCCCACTCCTGCCTTTTCCAAGCAATTGCCTGCTGTCCTGCTAGAATTAATATTTGCGGAGGAAGAGGAATAAAGCTTTTCAATCAAAGCTTCTATTAAGCTTCTGGTCTAGAATTCAGGATGATTTGAGGAAAGAGTCCTTGGCCTGACAGAAGAATGATTTTGCTGGAATCTCTGAAATTAATCCACCAGTTAAGTAAGGTAAGGCAATGGATGCACAGAGCCACTTCACTGTTCCTAAGGGTGCAAAAGTACTAGTTAATTTCCAGCCTTTCATAAGAAAAGCTGTCAGGTGATTAGAGAGGTCCTCTTTTGGGGTCAGGAGTACATAAACTAAATTTCATTATCTTTTCCATCTCAAATCTCAGCAGCTGGCTCTTGTCAAGCAGGCACTGCTGTCTACTGTTGGCAGCCTTGGAAGTGCCAATCCACCAAGTCAGTCACTCTAATAGCTGTGTCACTCTAATGCTTGGTGTACTCCCATGAGCTCCTAGCAGTAGAGGGTTGCGTGATTTGCATACGCTCCGTTCTTAGGACCCACTCAGTTAATTCAGTTTTATTTGTTATTATCCACAGTTCAGATATATGTGCAAAAACCAGTAAGAGATTAACTTCCAACAAAATATTCAGCTTTTAAACAGTGCCCATGCTGGTCGTGTCAATGTCTGATTATAAACTGTTGAAACAAGTCTGCCACACAGGGTTTCTGCACACGCATAGTTCTTTTGAAATATAATATTCTCAAATAATATACAAATTAAGGGGCTGTTAGTCTTGATCTGATCCTTTAGAGGCCAGCAAGTCATAACATCTGAGAAGCAGACTCTTCATTTTTGCTTCCTGAGATGAAATTGCAGATAAACATCACAGCAGACAAAAGTATTTCCTTCATGTGACATTATTAATAGTTCACGACCCATCATGAAGGAGGACAAGGGGTAAACATTCCATTCAGCTCCACGTAGGTCAAATCACCTCCTGGTCGAAGTTCTGCTTCTCATAGGCCAAGTGTGTCTCTACCTATAGACTGAAACCAAAACCTTACAGGTCCCAAACTGGTCTTCAGGTTATAACAAGTTTCAGTCCAGTAACTGACTTAAAGATTAAAATATCAGCACATGAATGTATTGCACAGCTTACCAGAAAGAAGCATTTATGTAAAAAGCTAAGGTCCCTTAAATATATGCTAGTGCAAGCATATGCATATGCTTTAAGGGAATGCTAGTGCTTATGTCATTGAGAGCTCTGGAAGTTGATATATCACGGCTCCATTTCCTGATTTGTTTTTCAACTGTTAACCTGGGCTTGTATGGATGTTTCTGTTCTACTTCTAAAACCTGCTTGTTTTTCAAGACTTTTTGCAGACAACTAGCTCTTCCAGGGTAAGGTACAGTAAGTTTTTTGTGAGACACTGGTAATATTTCCCAATTTTATGAAGGCCATTTTATGTAGATTTAACTTAGAGTGTGCTCATATTGATAATTAAGGTAATTGTATGGGAATCTCTTTTTCCCAGTGATGGATTAGAGCAATACTTTGCACAGCAATAAGAAACCCTAGAAGGGTGTATTTTAATTGATTACTGCATACCTGTAGTATTTGATATGTGGTTCCCTTGGCAGCTGTACTCTTTCTAGACAGAAGCTCAGCATTTTAAAAAATAGATGCCTAAAATTAGAATAGTAAGCCCCTGTTTAGTTCCAAGCTTCAGCTGGTTCTAGGGAAATAGACTGTATAGAAAAAGTAGATTTGGGCCTTCAGGCACCAATTAAAGATCCTAATCTGATAGACACTGATTATGAAAACTCTGAAAGGTGGGGAAGGGAACAGCTTTCACTGCTGGTATATGAAAGACTTGATATCAAGACTTGAGACTGTGGGTTCAGGGTTATAAACACAAGATATAAAAATAGGATGGCAAAATCTCAAGGAAAATACCCAGGATGGGTTGCTAACCTGGCAGCTGTCAGCTTAGGGACCTGATGATACTGTGTTATGAAGTGGTCCTTAAATGTGAGCTGAATCCTTTTGGTTCTGGATGCTTTTTTCTTTTCAACTTCTCTTTCTGTTCAGCGCAGTTATAATTTGGTGGTTCCCAGTTCAACCAGTATTGTATAAACTCCTGACCTTACTACCATGCACTTGTGTGAACAAATAAAATCTCAAAGAACCCTTCCAAATTTATGAGATCCTCCATATCAGATAAGTATTTCACTTACAATTTTGAGCATTTTGAGACAGTTGAGGTCAGTGAGGAATTTGACATCATCAATTTGGAAACCTGGTTGGAGCTTAAAACACAGTAATAACAGGGCCATTCTTCTTCCTGTAAGTAATAGGCATGCTGTCAGCATTATAAGATGCATTGTGGTCTTATCAGAGAACCGTGATCTCACAGATCTTCATGAGTTATTCAGTCAATGTAATTGCTATAAGACTGGCAGATGCAGATGTTTGCCCTTTACATGAAAGAATAACAAAAATAGTCTTGAGCTGCTCACTTGTAAGGAGAAGGGATGATGTGAATGCTCCCTGGTCAGCTCCATTTTTTCTTCCATGTGTAGAAGTTGGGAAGTGTCTCTGTAGAGGAGGTATATATTTGTGGAGAGGACAGGGAGAAGGAGAGATGCTGAGATAGTTGTGCCACTGCGATGCCTTAGGAATGGTTGAAAGGGTTGTGGATGAAAACCCTTGTATATGTTTGCCAGAGTGTTGGAAAAGTTCCAGGTGCTGCCATTTTCCTGATTATTTCATAACTAACTCCATACAAATGCAACAAATTTTGGGTTGACCCTTTACATCATGAGTTCATGATCTCATTGATCACTATTCATTATTCTTATGACACAGAAACTAATTCTAAATGGGAAGAAAAATGCACAGAGAATCCCTTCAAAATTAGGGAAAAGAAAACCAGCTTTCAGGAAAATGCAAGGAATATGGGTGTCTTACAAACTTTAATGATGTTTGTATGTATCATTTTTTGCCTGGAGCATAACCTAGTGGTATACATTGTTGTATCAAGTGGAGAACTGGATCAACTGCAAATGCAAAATAAGTCCAAAGGAGAATATTCTCTAAATCTTCCATGAGTCTGTTTGTTTGAGAAGGAAAAAGCATAAATGAAGAGAAGCAGAAAGGGTAGCCTTTTTTGTTTTAATACAGTTTTCTTTTTTACTTGTGTGGTTTGTAGGTTATGGAGGCTTTACGCCTCCATAAAATTCCCCTCTGCCAGAATTACTGCTGAACCAAAGCCTGCTTTGACCATACTAACTATTCTTTACTGAAGTAATCCATTTCCTGGCATCAATAATTTAAATATTGCTATTTGCAAATAGTCCTGAACTGATTTTGTGTCTCTGTTGCTTCTAACTTAATGATTCACCCTGTTTTGTTTTCCATTTGACCTATCAGTTGCTTAACGGGAATGTTTTATTTGTGTTTATTTAGAAAGCGTGATGCTCAGTGCCAGTTCTTCCATGCCAGCACATGTACTGTCCTTTAAGCCAAACAGGCATAGCCTAATGGCTAACGAGGTGGTACTGTCATGAATGTTTCCATTAATGTCTCTGCAGGTAGTGCAGCAGCAAATGGAAGCAAGCTCAAGAAAAAACAATGGCATCCTTGGGGTCTTAAAAACTCACAATGAAAAATGTAAATAGGGGAAAGGATAAGAATTTTGTATTTGTAGCTAACCTCGCACCAACAAATAATTAGCAGGAGGTTTTACATGGCTTTTTGTCTAACATAGGATGGCCATAACTGCCCCCTCCTTGCCATGCCTTCCTTCCATTTCTAACTCCATTGCATTTCCTTTTCTGGGGACTCATGTTGTTTTCTCTTCCACCTTCTCTCTTTCCATCCAACTGCATGCTTCTTTACTTGGTCTGACCTCAGAGAGGAGGAAGAATATGAAGAGGAGGAAGAAGAACAGCCAGTCACAGAACCCAATACTGAGGATGAGGGGGAGGAAGAGGCCTCTAGGCAGGTCAAAGCCAGGTACTGGGGTTCAGCATTGTCCCTCCACCTTTTCCTTGGGCTCTAGCATGAACTCACCAGCACCGTGTGCAGCAGCATCTGCCTTTCACTCACATTCCTATGTCACCTGTTAAGGCCCACCCCACAAGGATATATTTCTGCAAATTAAAGCTTTGTTGGTGTGTGTGTTCATGGAAAAATGTTTAATTATATAGGCTCCATGCAGTAAGAATTGTCTCCAGTCACTTCCTGTGTACAAAATGAGTAATGCTTACAAATCTTAAAAGATTTAGCTGAAAGCAGGACTTCTAAGCATGAATTAAGTTTATCTTTTCAGTTAAGGCAATGGTGAAACTGAAACCTCTTTGCTGAGGTAGCTGTTTGGTTTCTTAGGTTTGCATCCCTAGATTCATGATACCACCTTATTAACAATACCTGTCACTATGAAGAAAAGTGACATTTTTTTGAATGCTGCCTATGATTTTTATCAATTTTGTTCATGTTTTAATAGGAAATAATTACTTTGACAGAAAGCTGGTAGATACATAAATATCATTTTATACATACCTGCCTATTTGTGTATATATGGATATAAACAAACCACCTCTCAAAAAAGTATTCTAATGTCAAATTTTCCACTTATTTCTGAGGTATATATGGCTTTGGCATCTGGCAACTTTATCCTAATAAATTGGAAGAAAGAAAATATGTTCTTTCTTCCAGACAGCCGTTTGATTTAGGTTAAATTGTTTGGCTTTGCAACTCGGCAAATGAAACTGGATTTTTTTGTTTTAAATAAACCACATTCATGCAGACGCTGTACAGCATGGAGGGGAGAAAGGAAACTGTTTAATGTGCAAATTCCAAAGAAAATACTGTACTGCTGTTATTAGTGTCTTCCAGTCTGCAAATCTTGCCAATGGCTGCCTGAAATTTTGAAATTAAGTGATAATTTCCTCAAAACCAATTCTTAACAGTCAAAGCTAAGGCAGACCTTATTATTAGATCACATGAACATACTAAAATACTGTTAAAAACAAAAAAAAAAAAAAGGAAGAGTTGTATAAAGGGTGTGATGTGCTTTTAGCTTATTGATCTTTTAAAAGAACAGTCACTTTGAGATAAGTGGGTGATATTCCCATGGCTTTTCTAAATACTCCTTTCATTATCACTATAGAATAACAAAAATGATCTGCACCCTGGTTGTTTGTGTTAGATGCTGTCAGGATTGGTAGGACTAACCTGGCTTCAGTGACTCCTGTCATGCACAGCTGGTGCAATACAGGAAGGTTTCCAGATTGCCCATGGTGTTTCTGTTCTGAGAATGATTACCTGGTATATACCTGATGAATAAATTCATAATATCCTCATGTGTATAACATGTATTATGTTTTTGTTGCATATGCTGTGCCAAACCCACAATCCTCAGATAAGGGCCATGCTTTGCATGCCTGTAGATGGATTGCAGAGGTGAGAATGAAATCAGCCACCTGCAAGTGATCCAGCCCAGAGCTCATGCACAGCATTTATGCTGGAGATGCTAGTGAAAACAGATATCTCAGACTTCAGATCCCATGGCTTTTCACATGCCTAGCTGTTTCTGTCACTCACCAGCACCTGCCTTCACTAGAGCAAAGCAGATGTGTTTTCTGTTGCACTTGATGCAGCTCTTCAAGTCACTAACAATGGGATGCTGACACTCAGAGAAATTAGTGCGTTCATACCTAGACAAATGATCTGGTAAGGCATTGCTTTTGAAATAATCCTAAACCTTAATTTTGCAAGAACAATGCTGATTGAATATGTTTTTATTTTCATCTTTGGTGGATGAGCGTTTTTAGTAAAAATACCAGCTCCCCAGGGAGGATGATAATCAGATATCTGGCCTTCAAGAGGCAGGCATGCAGATTGTATCTTGAAGCATCTATACTCTGTGGACCATGTTCTCCAGTGTGTTGAAACTGCTTTGAACTGCTCTGGCAGTGCTTACAACCTAACTTGAAATACTTGAAAATCATTCAGAAAATGGTTGTTTAAAGGTTCATGAAAATTAGTTCTGAAGTCTGTGGGTTAAATCCCTTCCTTCTCTTTAAGCTGAATTTCTTCCATTCCTCAGTATTTCCATCTCCAAGAAGAATCCCACTGGCATACAAAGGTGTGAGTTTTCTTTATTTAAAAAGAGATGATTGTCTAAGTTTTGGAAGCTTTTGTTTCTCTGACTCTCCTTGACTTTAGGGTTTTTCCTCCAAGTGGTACTATCTATTGATCTCTCTTTTCCCCATTTTTGTCTCCCTCCCTTCCCTTTCTCACAATGTTTTCCTCCTGCAGTGGGGTCCCAGGTGCATGGGAGGCTGTGAATGAAAACCTCTCACAGTGTTCTGATTCTTCAGCCATCTCCAGTGCCATTTCTCCAGCTGAGAGGCCTCCCTCCTGCTCTAGAGCAAAGAGCTCTCCTAGCAGCTCCTCTTTTGTGCCTGACTCATCTGTCTCTCATCATAATTCTGTCCTTTCATCACCACCTTCACCTGCAGCAGCATTGCTAAGTTCTTCCCAAAATTCATCAGCATCCATTACTCCAAAGGCATCTCCAACGGTGGAGAAATTACCTTATGTACCACATACTCCTTTTCACCTCTTCTCGTATGACTTTGAAGAGACTCCAGCATCTGTGAAGGAAAAGGAAGCAGAAGTGATAAGGGAAAACAGGTAGATTTTATACAGCTGACATTAATTTTTAGATAAATGAATAACACCTTTCCAGAGTTTTATAGTGGTAATAATGCACTCTGTGTTGTATTATTTCCAGAGCATACTGTATTAGTTTTAGTCCTGTAAGCCTGTATTTTAACATGATTGATATTCTTCCCTTGCCTTTGTTGCCTTCATTTCATTTTACTCCTCTTAAAGGTCTACGGTTAATAAGTATTCTGGCTTCCTTTATACAGCAGTAGATAAATAACCTGTGATTTGGAAGATCACAGAAAGGAGCACCATTTTGCTCTCATTTACAACAATGTAATTTGCAGGCATTATTTCATGAAAATTAATGGAGCTTTTCTGCTATAAAACCAACAGAGATCAGATCAGCAGTTGGAATTCAGGGGTGAAATCCTGGCTTCAAAGACTGAACTGCCAGATCCCGAATTTGTTGTTAGATTAGAGTGCATATCCCTGTCATGTGCAATTTCAACTCATGCTTGTAATAAAAGAAGTAGATTAAACCCCATAAAGAGAATATAGCACTTAGAATAGACAGTTTTTGCTCCAACATATGCTCAGTTCTATGATGCTAAAGAATAACCTTAAAAAGAGGTTGATGATTTTTAGCTGTCTTTCCCAATGGTCAGAGCTTTTTTAATTACGTGCTGAAAAGGTACACGTATTTTATGAGTGTATTTATTTCTTCCTCTCTCCAACAGTCCTTCTGAATTTCTGCATGTGAACAAACATTTTGATTCCTCTGATCCTTTTAATTTTTTATCTTTCTCTTTTGATAGGTGTGTGTTTTGTGCCTTTTTTTTTTCATTTTGCTGGAAAGCCTGTAAATCCAAGTAGATGTTGGCAAGGGACTTAGTTTGCACATCTTGCCTTACCTGCAGCTTGAATTCTGGGCTTCCTCTAAATTTACATTTTCCTGCATTAGTGCAATTTTCCCTTAGGCCTCCGCACCCATTTATTGCTCTCATTGCTGCTTTATATTTTTTAGAGTAGATTTCTAGATACCTCATGTTCCTGCAATAGCTCCCGTTCCTGCAATATTTAGTATTTCTGCAGTGATGTTTTTTTAACTCTGCCCATCCTTGTTCTTCCAGTTACCACATAGGATCGAGGACATGATGTGGGGGAGGATTGTGCCGGGGTTATCTGGAGAAACAGGAGAGCAAAGCTTGCACAATTTGGGCAGTAATGTGTTCATAAAAGGCAAATGCCCGGGGTTTCTCCAGAGTGAAATATCCTGGGACAAGTCTATTGCATCTGCATCGGTTTGTGAGACAAGGGAAAGTTGAAGTGATAACCACTATCAGAGGAAGGTTAGAAAGATAAACATTGTGTACAGAATACTGACTTACCTGGTGTGCTTATTTTGCCTTGCTACTCTTCCAGCATTTGTCTCCCTATAAATTTGATACTTAGTGATGGCATGTCCAGGCTAGTCCATCGGAGTTTGATTTTGTTAATACTTGTAGTCTGAGTCCATAGAAGTTATGTTCTCTCCATTTGAATGAGAGTTATCTTTGGACTAATTGAAATCAGTCTGAAAAAGGATTCTTTTTTCTTCTGAAAAAAGCTGTTTCAGCTTTTTCGTGGGGAAGAGGAGAAGAAAGGCAAATGTAATGGTTGATAAGGTTTCCTTTCAGTTGATTGAAATGGAAATCGAGGTTTCTGTTAGTGTCAGGAACATACCAAATGAGCTCAGAGTTGTTGTCAGGACAGCAGAGTTTTCTCATCGCTCACTCAGTACTGGCATAGCCAGAATACAGAAGACCCATGCCAGGTCTGTGCTACCAGAGAAGCCCCATGCTGTCCATCTACACAGACTTCCACAGGGCCACTGGACAGTGGGCAGGAATGCCAGGAGGGCAATTATTTCCTGCAAAATTCCTTTTGTAGCTCAGAAATGTGAATATTAGTGTTTTTTTTCCAAAACTGTTCTTCTGTTCCTGGGCAGCCAACATGGTGTCCCAAAAACAGATGGTGGTGGTAAGGTGTTTTCTAAAACCTGAACTGGGAATTGTTGCCGAAGGCAGCATGTTCTCTAAAGGCTGATTACTTCCATTATAAAACCCCCTAACTGAAATCTGCTTTGATTTTAACATGAGCCTTGGCAGGCAGCAATGCTGTTGTACCCTAAGGAATGAAGCTTGAAACTTTGAATGAATTTTTGCATGGCTAGATGAGTGTGCTAAATGGAGCTGAAGGAAACTAACCAGTGTTTTCAAAGAAATTTGATGGCTGAAATTACTGAGTGGTGATGTGTATGAGAAAAGAAGCAGCTGAGCAAAGATACAGTGAAGAAGGGTATATTATATCTTGTGAGCTGTAATCAGAAAAATTATGTTGCTCCTTTTCCTGAAGTGAATTTTGATGTTTGGGTAAGTTGGCCTTGCGGAGTACTCACCTACAGAGCATCATATGCTGTCCATGTGAAAAACAGTATTGTTTGAATATCGTGTGAATAGAAAAGTTAACATTTTCCCAAATCAGGAATCTCTCTTGACTTCCTATGTAAGTATGATGGTTAAAAGTCACAGCAACGCAACACGACTGCCTTTTCTATTCAGTACGGTAGCCAGGGTGAAAACATTGACACAAGGGACTCCAGGGAGGTGGTCGTTCCAGGAGTTGTGGAAACAATTTCTCTTTGATAAGCAAGCTTAAAGTCAAGAAGACTAGGGTGGGGTTTTTTTAATGGAGGGAATGGCTTCCAGAGGTATGCCTTTTTAACCATGGTGGTAATTTTTTACAGGTATTGTAAGAAATGACACATAAACTATGAAATACTGGGGGAGGGGAAAGAAAATATTGCCTGCTTTAATTGAAAAGAACGTGGATGCTTTCCCTTTATAATGCAAACATTGTCAAACAATGGGTGTCCATGTTCAGATCATGTCTAGGGAATACTGCTGTTTTCCTTAATATCACTACCTATGAATACTGCTGACTTGGACTGGTTTGATCCTTTTTCTAATAGCTGGGTATCAGCTCCCAAAGCAGCTAATAATTTCGAGTAACAGAGTAGTGATGTAATTATTCCTGTTCTGAGTTGTCAATTGAGACGACCACTATAATCGCTCATTTTTTTCCATACCAATAACTCACTGTGTGAATTAAGTATGTCCGTGATATAGTTGATACTAAAGTGAGATGATAGGTTGCATATTCTGAAGCTGGGATTAAAGCAATATTTTCAGAAGGTGCAGGTGTAAGAAATTCTGGGGTATGTAATCACTGCCGTCCCCTAACAAGGGGATTTACTATTGCATATCTGCTTGCTGATGGATTCTTTCTGTCTCTCCCTTTCTCCTATCTTCCTTCCCACCTTTCAGATACAATAGCTATGGCAGCAGCTCTTACTCTTCTCCACGACCTTACTCTGGTGTGAGTGCCCCTGCAACACCCACTTCTCGTTATGGGACAACTCTCTCACCACCTCAGGAGACCAAATCTGACAGGTTTGTAAATTAATCAGTGTTTTCACAACAGTTTCTTTATATACAGGAGAGAAGTGTTCTGAATGTTTATTGGAAATATCTTCTAGCCAGATCTTTTCTAACATTGGAAAGAAAATGGATGAAAATCTAGATGTGTTCATGTCCCACTAAGCCTTTCTCTGACCTGATGTTAAAGGCTGGATGTTTTTCTGCCCCACTTCTGCTTCTTTCACTTCAATCAGTAAAACAGAGTTGTTTCACATGTACCCTGTTCTAAGTATTAAAAGGTGAATTAAAGCACATTTTACTTCTTTCCATTAAAAAAATAAATAAATTCAGACAGATCTGTTTTCACTTCTATCATCTTAAATCAGCTATAAAATCTTAGAAATGTGCCTAGGCCATAATTTTGTCCTTCTTTTAAAATACATGACACATCTAATTGCATTTTGTCAAGGGCAAAACGTTTCTTGCTGTAAATAAGGCAAACTCACAGTAACCCAGCAGCTATCAGCTCCATGATAACTGGTTTTGGGGAAAACCAAAAACAAAATAAACAGCAACAGGTGGAGGGACACACACCACATCAACAGCAAAAAAGTAGTATATAAAAGAATCAGAATACTCTTTGGAATTGTGTAAGGTGCTAGTGATAGAAGATAGGAAAATGTTATGGATATATGAAGGAAATTCTTGACTAGAGATTTGGACCATCAGAAATGAATTCAGTGTTACAACTTGAAAGTAAATGATGGCTTCAAAGGATGCCATGCTGAGTTTAAGGAGGAAAGGTAGAAGTTTTTAGTTAATAATTAAATAATTTCCGGTTAGACCAGATGGGGTTTGGATTGTTTGTTCCTGACTTGGCCTCTAATTCATAAAAATACCATCTCCCACCCTTTTTTTAGAACTGGGGGCTTTTTCAGGAGCCTTTCTCTGTATTACAGTTAATTTTTATTCTTTTTTATTATTATTATTTCTACATGTTTATAGAACATATGCCTATATGTGCTTGTGTGTATATGTTTGAGGCTACCTAATGCCTCACATTCTTTCCAGTCTACTACTCATTGTAGACCATTCCAGCATGCTTGTATTTGTAGCCATGAGGTATTGATTTAATCCCTATTTTTCAAGTGAGTAATTACATTAAGTTTATCCTTGGATAAAGGCATTGTTTTTCATTTGCTCATCTTCTTAGAATAACTTGCCTCGATTTGTCTCTCCTTATCTGAGTTACATTATTGTATAGTGAAACCATAATAAAAAACTCATTTCAACCTCTTTTACCTCATCAAATTAGATGTAAGATAAGCAAGGATTTAAAGTATCCTGCTGCTTTTGATGTTTTAGGTTTCCAAGCCTCTGCTATCTTAGGCTTCTGATTGCTGCTGCAGCAAAGAAACCCCAAAGTGGTCAAACATTGAGATGGCTAAAGATCATTGGGCCTGTCCAGCAAGAGATTGATCTCTCTAGCCCTGCTCCAGTAAAGGAAGCAAGCTTTCATTCCAGCATGTGCATAAGTGCGTTGCTGCTTTGGAGCCAAAATGCTTGGCCTCACAGAATGAAGCTGAGCTGTAACATTCACAGATTCATCAAAAGTCAGGTCATAAGGGAGCTCTGTAATCAGCTGTTGTGGGTCTCACAGAAGCTAAATGAAAGACCCTGTACCTTCTTGTATTTTCAAGTGGCAGTGCATGAATTCTCCCGGGAAACATTCCTGTGTTCAACACCACTGCTAGAAAAATATTTCATATTTTGAGGCCAGTTTGTCTAGCAGCATCTTCGAGCCATTACACCTACTCCTGCTTTACTGTGTGAGACTGGAAAGAGCTCTGCCTTTAACTATGAGACCTCTCATACTTTTCAAGTGTCTGAAAACTGTGCTCAGAGTTGAATCTTTGTCCTTCCTTCAGGTCACATTTACCGCTTTCCACCTCACGATTAGAAATCTGCACTCTTGTTTGAATGTGCAGCTTGCTCTTCAAGGTAGTTTAACTTACCAGGATTTCTGAATATTTGTATTTGGGGGATGTTACAGCCCAATGCTTTTTGTACATTAGTCTCCGAGATGAAATATGTGTGTACGCCACAGGCATGTTGCCTGCAGAATAGATGCAGTTCTTGAAAGTTAATCAAATTTTCAGGTTCAGATGCCCTTTTGCATCAAGTCTTGGTCTTATTCTTTTTGAGTACACTGCCATTGCTGTTGTATAGTTCAGCAGGCTCTAATAGAGTGACTGCTTTGAAGGGCAGAAGCCTTTTATTTCATCGTCCTGAAAGACATGCATTGCAGAAATGCTACACATAGATCAACGGATAGTTTTTTCTCATTGGAGTAGGCTGTGTAGTGCATGACACAATGCTTGGCACTAATTAGTAAGTGGAAAGTATTGTGGAAGTTTTCACAGTCTTTTTTTAACAGTGTTTCCCTTAGATTATGTAAACATTATTTCCTACCTCTTCATGGTAAAAATTTACATGGATTCAAACACAAAAAATAGTTAAAAGCAGGGAGGAAGACACTTGATAAGAAGCAGATGCATATACATGGTTAGCTCCAAGGTGAGTTTTCTGGTTTCAGTAAACAATTACAGTTATCCAAAGCCTCTGCAGAAAGATTCCTGTCTTTTATCATGCAGGGAACAGCTTCAGATGCAGTTCCTGGTACTGTTTATCTGACCTTCGAGAATGAGGAGGAAGGAAGAAGCATCATTTAGAGCAGTGCCCAGCAAAATGATTCATGCTCCACTCGGTTACCCTGGCAGGCCTTTCAAACCTCTTGGCTGCATTTTGCTTATGTAAATAAGAGGTAGAACTTAGGTGGAAAGAAGCAGTGTGGTTGACATTTTGATGTTCATACTTTTAAAACCTTCTTTGGCTAAGATCAGTAGGGAATCCAAAAGCAGTATAATTAAGTGCAAAGTAACTAGACTTTATTCTTTGAAATCCACATAATATATATATTTCTGAGTATATAGAGGAAGAAAAGGCTTACTTGACTGTTCCTTGGTTTCTGAATTCAGCTTCAGCCTTTGCCAACTTCTTGCAATACTGTTGTGTTCTCTCATTTGTCTGGGTCCCCTGTGGAGAGGCATGTTTCTGAAGTGCATATTGCAGCCTTAGGAATCCTGCTGAAGTAGGCCAAATTGCAGGGCACTTTCTGTTCAGCTCTTCACTGGGAGAGAAAAAAACGGATACTGGTTCTCTCATATGTCTCTGCATGTGGAAGTTGTTCGTAATGTGTAAGGATAACCCAGTCCTCCTGTTTTCAACTGCTAAAGACTGCTTTACTGCATAAACACACCGCTCACACTCTATGACTTAAATCACTAATCAACTCTCTCCCAGTTCCTAACGAAGAAATAAAAAGTCTATCTCAGTTTCTTAACCTCATAAATTGTGGCAACAAAGGGGAAGAGCAAGACATGGCTACATCACACCAGGGAGAAAACATTTTTCTGTACCTCTAAGTTGTTTCCCTGCCTAGGGGAAGAAGGTATTTTAAGACTCTTCTTTATTTCCATGGCTTGTGTTCACACATAGACTATTTCTGTTTAGAAAAAGATTGTCTTCTCAGACTCTGAATATAAGATGGTCGCTCAAATTGAAACCTGCAGCCTGGGGCTGTCTGTAGCTGGACAGCAATCTCATTACTTGCAAAGCTTCACACCCCCCCATAGTGTGTTTTTGGTGGTGAAGTGTATGCATTGGTGATCATGGCCATAGTTAGAGGAGACCCTGAAGGGGTCTAACTTCTAAGGTAAGAGCTTATGAATTCAGCACCAACTTTAATTCATTCTTTTGGTGGAAAAAAAATCCTGCTGGTGTTTGCCAAGTTATATTTCTTCAAATGCATTTGCCAGGAGACAGTTCCCACTGGGCTTAATAGTCAAACAGTAGTGCACTTAGCCTTGGTAGAAAAGCTGTCTTCTCAGGGCACTGTGTGCCAAGGGAGCAGGATTTCATGGTCACCATTCTCTTACTCTAGCTGTTAAATCAAACACCAGAAAGTTCAGCGTGCGAAGATCCACTTCTGGGTCCTCATGGCCAGCCACTGTGAATTTAGTGTCAACCACTGGCTGGTCCCTCTGGGCTCTCATACCAGAGACAGTGGCCATTTTTAGTTGTGGTGAATGCCAAGCACACCTTTTACTCTGAATGACATAATGAGGAAGAATAGCTTAGTAGTTGATAATGGCAGCCCAGGGCAAAAGCCTCAACTTTACTGCTGAAATTTTTAGGGGAGGAGCGATCTCAGGTATTCCTTGATGATTTACTTTTTGGGAAGCAGTGCTGGCTTACACTGCCTTAGCTGCTTGTTGAACTACTGTGCAAGCAGTATTCTTGATTGTATATATTTCAACAGAAAGCTTAACCTTATTGTGGTTTCTGATTGCAACATGTTGCTGGCTGAACATGCAGTGTGCTGTGCTGATGCTCAGGGGACACATACCTTAGCCTGGTTCCATGGGCAGGCTCTGCAAGCCACTTCCAAGTGAACTGTTATTCATATGAGCATGAGAAGCTGTGGGTTGGAGAAAGACAGGAACACAGTGCAAAACCTGTACACATAATGCTGTGAGAGGAGCGTGTATGTGGGAAGTCCTCAGGCATTGCCCTGGCTCTGCACAGCTCTGCCCCACTATAAGCTTTATTTTGTGTAGCCCCTCAGGCCAGTTAAAAGTCTAACATTAATCAGTCTTCTCTTGGTCATTCTCAAGTTTCTTTCTCAGAGGAAGCATTAGTCAGTAGTTTTATCTCTCAATTTTGTGTTTATTTTTAAGAGAAGTTTTGTAAAGATTCCTCAAGTAATGTTTAGTCTGTTTGCAAAATCTTATATCAACATGCTTTTGAATTTGCCATGTCATGTAGGGAGACATAACACACAGAGAGTTTCTTTAACTGTGAAAAGCAATATGGCTCTTGGCAACTTTGCCTCCTCTTTTGTCTCTTTCTAAGTTGGAAAGTGGATTTATTTTGTTAAAGCCAAGAGACATTTAGAGTTACTTAAGGCCTGAGTAAGAGCTGCTGACTGTTTTTCCTTCTCTGTAGCATTCACATGACTGCAGGGGCAGGAGCACTTTGGAAAAACGGGCAATTAGTGATTCCTTATTAAGGTTATTAATGGTTCTGACCCTTGCGATATTAAAGAAAATCCTGAATATTAACCTTATGACCTAAAGGGATTTCCTCTCGTAAGTCATGTTAATTTTTTTATAGCTCCTAAAAATATTCATTTGTATTGTGTATTCTTGCTATAGATGTCCATTTCCATTTAGCAAACTTTAAAAATTCAAAAGAGGAAAGCACAGCAGTAAAAGAAGAGCATTTGAGAGTTAACACGAATGAAGAACGTTTGAATTTGATGATTACAATTTTGCTGAACAAAGTGGCTTTGAGTAAGATGAAATAATTTCATCAGTTTCAACAAGATCAGAGCAATTCAGGTCACACATTCCCCATCACAGTATATAGTCTGTGACGGGTGTATTGCCAGAAAACTACAAACACTTGCAAAAAAGTGCAACATATCTTGTGTCTCCCTGATCTTGTGCTTTTAATAATGATTACTAATGATTACTACTAATTACACTGCTGTGTTAAATGCATTAGATGAGGTTAGCTGAATTTTGATTGAGAAATGTCTTGGCCTACAATCAATGTTTTGGCTTCACCCCAGGTCCTAATGTCATGATGTGGAACTATATTCACAGATCTCCAGAATTAGACGTGTTCTTCTCATGTGTTTTCTTTCTGGAATGACTGTAATAACATAGCTTGTTTGGCATTTGCTGGTTTTAACAGCAGGCAGAAGAAAGCTTTTGTTAATATTTTTATATTAACAGTCCATTGTTAATAGCATTGTGTTCTCTGCAAGACTAAAAATAGTAGTCAGAGTAAGCATCCTTCTGGATTGTATTTGTGGAATCGAACAAATGGCTGATATTACCAGTTGGTAACATATGACACCAGCATTAAAATGCTGGCATGTATTAGCTGTAATGCCGTCTTGTGAGTGACCACTCTATTATGTTTTCATTGAATAGTCACATACTCTTTTCTGTTAAAATTTCTTACCAGCTTTGATTCAATGCCAGATTTTATTTTTTTTTAGCCTTTTCCTTGCTTATCCATTTTAAAATGCAGCCTGTGGCAATAAGACTTAAATATTCCTGAGGCCTGAAGGTACTGTCACTTTTAACAGTATCAAAACACCAAAATTGCCTGAAGGCTCAGGTCAGGCCTTCCTACCAGCTGATTTGGCCAGTCCCACTGCCATTTGCAATTCAAATATGAGTTCAGCAAAAGGGAATGTTTAAGCATTATTGCCAGGGGAATAAAAAGAGAAAAAATCAGATTTTGAAGGCAAACCAAACATAGACAAATCCTTTTTCAAATTGTTTAGAGTATTAGAAGAACACCTCTTACCACTTGCTTTTCATTTTGGCTGTTTTACAGGTTTGAAAGTGACACCTGTTTCTTCCAGATTTAGTTTATACACAAGTAGAAAATTAAGGATAGAATTTACTAGATACTGAAATCTGCTCATTTACATGTTCAGTTCACATTAAAAAGAGTATTGATGCACCCAAATACCAGTTGAGCTAGAGTTCAATAGTAACAGTGAAGCTATGAGTTTATGAGATTTCACAAAGCAAACTGTCTCAGCAGTTGGTGTGAGGTGTTGTCTTCACCAAGGGGAGATGTGTCCGGTCGCATGGGCTGGACACTGCAGGGTCTTAATCACTAAGCAAGCACTAACTCAGCAATAGAAGTTCTGTTTCTGTGCCTGTCTTTTTCTAAATGTGACTGAAAACAGAATCCCTGACTATTGGTGTTCTAAGAAGTTGGTGCCACGCAAGGATTCAGTTGGTCATATTCCTGTCTGTTCAATTATGACTGGTTTCAACAGAACTTTCTTGTGGCTTTGAATGTTAGTTTTGACCATTTCATTCAATAAACTGTTGTATGCAATTTGGCAGTCCAGAACTGACTGTGTTTGGGCAAACTAGTTGGATCAGGTATGTGTGTGCACGCTGCACTATAGCTTGTAACTCAGCTGAAATATAGTTTCATAAAGTAACCAGTGGGAAATATCAAGTTTTGTCTAATTATTATTGGTTTCATTAGTTCCCAAGAGGTGGCAAACTAGTATGATGCATGGATATTCATTTCAGTTTTTTAGACATTGGCTTGTTTTCTGGCTATACGGCTGTGGAACTTTCATTTAGATTGTGAGGCTGCTGTTCATACATCTGCAGATTTTAGCCAAGTGAGTGATGTTAGCCAAACTGCTAGATCACACCTCAAAAAAAGGTGTTTTGGCATGCAGAGACATTATACTACCGGTAAAGTTAGAATCCTGTCTGCAGGATTGACCTGCACATCTCCATGTGATTCCCCTGTAGTCCCTTGGATAAGAATGTGTATTTACTGTGGAACTCCAGAAAGCTTAGCCAGAGCTGAAGGTTTCCAACCTGCTAGATGCTGTGCAGAACTGGTCACTCTTTTGGTCTCTCAGCATCACCCCATCCTTCCCCTTAATTTTCCTTCAGGTTTTATTATGTCATAACTTCCTTTGACTCTAAATGGAGCTTGCAGACTTCAGGTAAGCTGGATGGGATGGGTCAGGATGGATAGGAAGTTAAATACACAGAACAGGTGTGATGGACCTTCTTTCTGCCATCTCTTCTAGTTTATTCTCAAGAGTCTTCATGTGAAGGCACTATGTAGTTTTCCCTTTCCAAGAGCAATTACTGATGATATATTCAACCTTATGGATACGTATTTTCATGCTACCACAGGGATGGAGTGCTAGCTTTTGACTCTTAAGTACAGGAGTGCTACTGTTTCTGCCAAGAGCTTTCTCTTGCAACATGCACTAAAAGGTCAAAAGTTAAAATAAATGTAAAATATGTTCAAGGGAAAGTTCACCACACGTACTTGACTGTTGGGGCTTGAGGATTTATTTTTTTCTTGCTTTTCTTAGTGCTGAGACGTATTATGGATTTTTATGGGTTTGAGTGTGATCCAGCATTGATACTGTAGCTCTGGAGGAGCGCCAGCAGGGAGGCTTACAGAATATCAAGTTTTATACCATCTTATGTAATGTTTATGCGGGTGGGATATGACACATTGAAATTCAATTTATTGAAATTATTGAAATTATACTCATACTGCCTTACTGCCAGTGGGGCTGAAATAACTATGTTCTGTGGCATTCCTGCTTGCACAGACATAGACACTCTGGGAAGATAGGTTTGCATTTATGTTTTTGTCTTCTCCAGTACTTATTTTCACTGGTGAATTGGTGCCATAGCACTAAGTGCCTACATTGTGCAGTCATAGGCATGTAAATAAATAAGGGAAAGGGTCTGAGTTCTTAAAAATAACAAAAAATTATTCAGGTTTGTGTTGCTGGTTTGGGAACCTTCCTTTAGACTGGGTTTAGTTTCTTTTCAGAAAAGGCAATATTTCTCTTATTAATCCTTTCATTGCAAAACTCATGTTACAACAATGCACAGAAACCGCTCTGCATGAGTTATGTCTTTTTGATTTTATCAATCTAATTCAATCAGTGTGGATACATTTACGTTTGTATAAAGCTACCCTGTACAATGCAGTTTTTTCCTGTCTAAGAGACAGAAAGAAAGACATATTTACTCTGAGGTCACTTGGTTGCCATGTGAGAGCTTGGTGGTACAATACCACCGTGTTTGGGGAAAGGGAGAAGCCACTCTCCTAGCCAAAGAAGTGCTTGCAGTAAAAAGTCAAGACCAAACTGTAAGTGAATAAAAATGTAGCTTTTTAAAAGTGTATTTGCTACTTGAAGCTATTTAATCTCAAAGAAAAAAAATAATCTACATATTTGAGAAGCCTTTACTGTAAAGGCTACCATTTCTGACCAAAATAAAGTTCCACTTTTTTTTTACTGGGCATTTACTCATCTTCTCTCATGCATCTTAACAGCCTCCTGAACAGCAGCTGGAAGTTTGGTATACATTGCTGATGGGAACATTGAGCCTTTTTCATTCTAGTAGTCTACCATGGAGCATCCAGTTTGTAGTTATGGTCAGAGGACTGCACAGAAAGTCCCTTTTCAGACTAATTCTTGCTCAGCCATAACACAGGTGGCAGTAAACTTTCTGTTCAGTGTGGGCAGAATGAATGGGTCTAAATGGCAAAAAAACACAGAAATATAGGCTAGACAGCAGATAAGTCTTTCTTTTAGCTTTTCAGTTAATGGCCTTACACAGTAAGAAAAAATGAGACAATATTGCAGTTGAAATAGGCTGAAGAATTCTTACATGTACTTTATTTGTTTGTCAGAAATTTAGCAATTTAAGAAGCCTACCCTATCTGTCATTCTTAAGCTCACCACAGTATCTCAAATCAATTCAAAAGAAGACATTTAGCCAGTGCTTTGAAGCATACAGACATAAATATTGCTATGTCATTCTGTTGGTTGGGATTATGTTATGTGCTGAATGATTGCTACTCATTTTTTTGCCAGTATAATCAATAAAAGTGACACTGAGAAATCCGATCTTCCTTCTCTACAGGCCAGCTTTGGGTGGTCTTCTTACATCATCTTTTCGGCTGCACCAGGAGTCCTTGGCAGCAGAAAGAGAAAGACGACGGAAGGAGAGAGAAGAAAGGTTGCAAAGGATAGAGCGTGAAGAAAGAAACAAGTTCAAGTAGGAACCAAATTTGTTGTCAGTCTGTTGCTTTAATGTGTGATGGATTTTAAATCATTGAGACATCCAACTGGAAAATTATTGAATTGATGAATAGTTTGTGTGTCTCTTTAGATACCTTTCTTGATCTAAGTATCTTAAGAACTGATACATTGAACACATTATGATAAACCAGCATTTAGTAAACCAGCAATTTTTTTGAGGACAGCTTTGTGTTTGCCAGTTATACTACGTGGGTATCTGCAGAGGCCAGGTTTTATTAGCTAGGGTACTCCTCAGAGTAAATCTCAGTGAGGCATAGGGTTTGAAGACAGAAGAGTGGGAGGAAGGTATCTAAAAGGGAGGAAGGGACAACACTGAGACAACTTTTTGGATTCTGCTAAGTAAAACTGTTTTGCTGTCTTGGGATGTATGGTAGTGTTTTTAAACTACTTTTTCTCACTTTTCTGAACATGCATCTTTCCTTCCTGGAAACAACAACTGACGGAAGGCAGTTATCAAAATCATTGCTCAAGCTGTGGCCAGACAAAGGCCCCAGATAAATACTGGATTCTCCATTTTCACATTTGAGAATATGTTGTGTGCTGTGGAATCCCAGTGTATGCTGCCTGAGGATAGTAAGAGACAAGCCCACTCCTCCTGTTAAATCCGTGCCTGAAAATCCCTTCACAGGCATTAACAAAGACTACTGTGGGCTTAGGATATATAAGGAGCCTGTACCTGAAGTAGTTTGCCTACTGCCTGAAGAGTGTACGCTAAGAAACCAGTTTGTTTCCTTATAAACAGGGTGAAAAGTAAACATAGAACACATAATGTAGTAATCTAAAGAATGGTAGGATAAATGTTTTGTAGTCTCAGAGTTGGTATTTATGGAAAACATGGCACTGGGTTTCATGTGAGCTTCCTTATTAGTATGCAGGATTATTTTCACTGTAATCATCTCTTTGGTAAGAAATGGTCTGTGTCATAGTGAATTTGGAAAAAGGAGTAACTTACTAGTGGTTGGTTGGTTGGCTGCTTGAAGGAGATACTCTCCTGACTCCAGAAGATAGCTAGTTTAGAAGAAAATGAGAGGCAGAGGGAAGGTGGGAGAGCACCATAATAGGATCTTTGGCAGCCAACAGCTGCCCATGTTCTCCTGAAACAAACAATCAGGTCTCAGTCTTAAAGGCTCTTCCAAAAATCCTCCCTCTAAGTGGTATCATCAGGCTGCAGCAGTGTGCCATGGACAGCCAAGATGATCTTTCAGAAAGGAAACTTCCAGACCAAAAAAGCCACCAGGACATTTGGCAGCTTGACCTTCTTGGATAACAGATCTGCACATTTCACTAGAGATTGGGTACAGTAGTTGTTGTGTCACTAAAAGAGATCCCTTAAAGTCAGAAAAAAAAAACAAATTTTTTAAAATATAAATCTTCATACCATTACTCCCGAGTCAGAAACCAGTTAACTAAATTTCATTACTGTGTTGCATATTTAAGATGACAGTTTTTCAATGCTCAGTGTTTTCATCTTCTAGATTTGAGTTCCATGGTCACCCAAACATGTAACTTGCATCTGAGTAGAAGGTCTCTAAAGTCACTAAACTTCACAGACAGCATCCCACAGTTGATTAAACAGTCTGGCAGGAGGGGGAAAAGCCACAGCAGTCATGGGCAGTTTTGCAAGAGTTCTTGGGATTACAGTATCATATCATAAGTCTGGCTAGAAACCCAGTCTCTGAAGATGTATTTTTTGATTAAAAATAGCACTTGCAATTCACAGCCTTAAAACTCGTGAGCTTGGATTTACCCTCATGACTCATTTGTTATCTCATTCATTCCAACTCTGCCTCAAGAACATTGCTCTAGTTTCTGGCACCATTATGGACAAACTGAAGATACTTTAAAGGAGAGCATCACCAGTTGTGAAAGAGCTTGGGTTTAGGAGAGGTATCAAAAAGCTTCACAAGCTATTACTAGCAAAAGGAATGCTTTACATAATGAACATTCTTCTCAGTAAAAGGACCATTTTACCTGCTTCATGTATAGAACAGTATGCCCTAAAATACAGGCACTCTTCTTCAGCTGTAAGGAGGGGTGAAAGCTGTCAAAGGGGAAAGAGTAAAGTTAAAATATGCCTGCTGAAAAATTCTTAGATTTTTTTTCCTTGGAGTTATTCCCATAGCTATTGTAATTCCAAAGAATACTCTGAAAATATGATAAAAGTATAACCAGGTCAGGGATTTAAGGAATGTGGAGGTAGCCTGAAACAGTTATATATGTTCCTTATTGTCGGACTTTTGAAGAGCACTTGCAAGCAGATGTTTGATATCTATTGGTATGGTAGATGAAAAGTAATTCCTTTGATGACAGAATCAAAAGAGAAAAAACAGTGTTTTATTCATAAATGGAATACTTCTGAAAATCTTTCCGGTGCTCTCAGGTTACAGTGCAGAAGAATCTAACAAAAAAGGTGAAAATCTCATCAGTTTTGTCTATCAGATTCAACAAAATATTAAAAATACATTGTAAAGAACTATCTTGCTGTGATATTGAGGGAGGCTGAATGTTCACGGAATTCTGCTGTGCTCTGAGTTAAATTTGCATCCACATTTGTGGATTTGACAGGCCTGCCTGAGATCACAGTGCTCAGGCTTCCTAAAAGTTGACCTGTCAAAAGCCAAATACATGAATTACTTGAGGAGCTGAGAGAAGGGCAGCTCCTCCTGGAGATGCAAGGATGTTTGTATCTGAAACTCAGGGTGAAAAATAAAGAAGTAACAGGTTGTTACCTGTCCAGTGATCCTGCATGCACCTTGTAAGAGCAAAGAATTGTCCTACTCGGTAATGCCAGTCCACTGTCCCATTTCCAGCCATGGTGACTAAAACACACTGAGGAAAGGTACATTAGAAAGAGGCTAATACAGTGTGCTCCCTGCCTTGGTCTGGCTTGCCAAGTGCTGCGGTCACTGTTTCGGGGCATTCTAGATAGAGCAGATGAGGACTGGTTTAATAGCCACTAATACCTGCTCATCATGGATTTAATTCATTTTATTACGGAGTTAATTATAGCAACTTTCAGTTACTAGGGTTCAAAATGTACTTCAAGTTCTTCACTTTTGGGTGTTGCTTTTTTTAATAATTATGTGTAAAGATGTTCTGAACTACATATTTGGTGTACACATACCTGTGAATTATGCATGGATAAGTGTATGCACACACTTTTCAGCCTTTTTTACAAAAACAAGCTAATCGTTTTTATCAGCAATAGTTTTCATTGTTTCTGACCAGCTTGTTTGTATTGATCTGTTTCTCCTACTGTACTTGTACTTCTGTTAGCTTATTCTGCTGGTTTCCTCTGCAATTTACTGCAATTCTGTTTCTAGCCGCGATTATTTAGACAAAAGAGAAGAACTAAGACAAGCAAGAGAAGAGAGGTTTGTATATAATGCATCCATCCTTCCCTTTGGTTGTTTGCACTTTCTGTATTCTTTACTGTTGAGCTATCATGTATTTACATTTTTAACTCTGCATGCGCAGAACACTTTTATTCTGAAAGACTTCTATAAGAAAGCAGTTGTTTCATTAAAGTTCTTCATTAAAGAGAAAAATTAGGTCCAGCTGTAAGCACAGCAATAAATGAAGAGCAGTGGGACTGGAGTGCATAAGAATGATTGACGATCTATCTTTTATCTATTTGTGTGGGAAAAAAAAAAAAAAGCTTACTCCATTTGCCTCAGAAATTGGCCAAAATTTAGTATAGTTATAAATTGAATAAGCATGTCTTTCTCACCCAGTGGATCCCAAGCTTTCTGGAGGGTCAGAAAAGGCAGCTGAGGATAAAGGAAATTAGGGTCACAAGCATTGCAAAACTGCAGTCACAGGCTGATGGAAATGGTTCTGACCCTCTCCCAGCATATTTTTGTCTTTCAGGGCCAATTTTTCATTGCCAAACTCTCTAAACATCACAGAGTCAATTGCAAAGCTTAGCAGTGTTTATCATTGGGGTATTGTTTTAGTTTTATTTAAATAGCATATTTAAAGGGACTGAAGGTTTGGGGTATTCTTTTCCTTTTATGAAATTTGATTAAATGGTTTAAAAACTCTGGACTAGACTGGGAGCTATGTGCTTATAAAAGCACATTTTTCAAGGAATACTTGACAAAAGACCTTTGCCTTTCAGTAGCTTCATCTCTGCCTCCATTAGTAATTGCACCCTGGAGGGAGCTCTTGTTTTTACCTGGAAAGTATGAGCGTTACTGAATAAACAGTAGATGAAAATCATCCAGATTGCTTCAGTTCTGCTTTTATGGTTCTCTAGAGATTTTTCTCTGGAGATACTTTTGGATTACAAAGAACTGGTATTGTATTATCAAAGTATGAGAACAGCCATCTCAGAAATCATTGTGTTGCTGCGTTTTGGGTTTGGGTGGTTTTTCAGTTTATTTTTTTGGGGGGGCTTTTTGGTTGTTGGTTTGTTGTGAGGGTTTTTGTTTGGGATTTTTTTCTTCCTTTTTTTTCTTTTTCCTACAAAATTCTCATACAGGAGGCAGTTGGTTTCTGTCCACTGAAGTCTAATCTGTTGTGGCTGAATTAGCTAATATTAGAAAATGACTTTGAAATCTCTTCACAGTAAGTGGATGGGCTTTCCTTTGTCCTTCCAGCCAAAACAATTACATACAGTTTAGAGCATTTTCTGAAAGGAAACGCGTCCGAGCATGTAAGCATCATACACAGATCATAGCGGAGTAAAAGCTTTTATGGCAAACATGCTTGTCAGCAAGATTTGAAACAAATGAGACGCAAGCTCTCCAGCACTTTCCAGTTACAAGGGAACATGCCAAGTAAACTGGAGTACTTTTGAGGAAGTGTTCACCAGCAAGACATCACTGTTGTGCAATCCGGGGCAATTTCGCTGATCAGTAGGAATGTGTCTTTATCCTTAGGTTTCTTTTGAACTGAAAAGTTAAATTATCAGTTCTTCCTCAGAAAGCAGAAAGACACATTTGTTTTAACAGCACATATATATTGGAGAAACCTTCTTCAAGTTGCAGAAGTCTTGTACGTATTGTCCATTACATTGGCCTTCTGCAACTACCTTTTTACCACACACCTTTGCACAACTGAAATTTCATTTCCTATAGCAAGTTGCATGTTGACATAAGAGAATGTATGAACTATAAAAAAATGCTATAGCCAAAGTCCTAAAAACCTAGTTAAAATCTGGGTTGAACATTTCCTGTGTATCAGTTTGGAAAAGTGGAAGGAGATAATATTGAGCACATAGGAGCATTCTGTGTGCTATTGCATCACCCTGGAGCTCCAGAATAGAGGAATCCACTTTCCCAGGGGCTCTGGAGTGGTCTTGATATGAGGGAGAAAGATTCTTGCAGTTTCAAAGGGTCCGAGTGTAACTCGGCACCATTTGTTCCACGTGTTCTTGACATCCAACAATTTGAGGCCATTTTTACTTTGCTTGGTTGCGTGTTTTCCGTTGGTAATGTAAAAATAAGCTCAAGAAAGGTGAGCTCCCAAGCTGTCCCTAGTGTGATTTGCAGCTCAGATGCTCTCTGTCCTATGACTTTGTCGGTAAATAAACATTTTGAATCACCTTCAGGGTATTCCTCAGAGACAAAGAGATCTCTCAATGATATCTTCATCCACTTGAAGATGATAACTGGAATGTCATGTTCATGAGGTATACCAAATGGATAGCCCGCAGACTTCCAGCTTTTCTAGAGAATAATCGGCATAGCTGTGATGATGTTGACAGATTTCTAAGATTTAAAGGATCATGGCAGTATATACACAGGTAATATGTCAATCCTGTAGTGGAAGAACTACATCCACAGTACAGCAGTGGGATGGTAGCTCATCCTTTCAACTCCTTCAGGTTTTGCTCTTCATGAGACCTTGTGTATTTGATGCTGGCATTCATTCATTGTTAGAGAAATCAGGCAGAAACAAAAAGTAACCTAAATAAATGTCATTTATCAAGTGTGAAATGTTAATAGATGATTCTTGAATTGTTTTTATTTCTTGGCTACACTGCTATATTTGCTTATTAGTCTGTCCATTCGATAACTAGTTTTGCTGATGTGCTGTGATGAGAGTTGCTGTTCTGGTTCCTTTTTCTTTCAGTATAATGAACAGATATATTTTGAGAAGGCACATCTTGATGCTAGACTTCTGCTTTGCTGGTTGGCTGTGCAGCATACAGCTACAGAAGCTAAAATGTTAAAGCAGGTTAAAAAGAGCTGAGGACTATAAAACATTGTAGCTCCCCCTGTTATGGAAGGATCTGTCCATATTTCTGTTGTACTCTGTTGGCAAACTGGGAAACCCTCCTCGGTGGCAGCCAGCTGTTCTGTACCTGTTGGAGCTAAGTGATTGGTTTGAATGTCTCTTTATGAGTCTGAAGTCCCATCTGCTCTACCTGGGGGTGGGGGGGAGGGGGGTGGTGAAGGTCCAATACTTAAATGACCAATGTTAAAAGAAAGACTGGCTTCATGAACTGTTAACACTAAGCTGATGCCAGTGAAAGGCTTTCTCCTCTACTGAAAAGGCAAGAGATCAGTCTCAAGAATTGGCTTCATGTTAGAACTGTAAACAGTTCCTATTTTATAACCATACAAGTATGTAGCTTGTTATATTTTCATCCAGAGTCTGTAGGGGATCTTTTTCTTGCCGAATTTGTTCAAAGCCTGTGCATACCTCTGGAGGAATAAAAGAAAATGAGTTTGTTATTCATTACTGCTGTTTGCAGTAAAGCAAATTGCCTCTGAAAACACAAGGAGTGCTCTTCAAAGACACATTTCTATGCTCTATATGGATGTTTGCAAGCGTGCATGCATGTGTGGCTGCCATATGCACTAAGCATGTTTGTTACCACGTGGCTGACTTTTCCCCGCCTGCTTTTAATGCACCCTTGTATGCTAATCTGGGCTGTCAATGAGGCAGAAGGGGGGAGGAGTGGTGTTCCCTGTTACAAAGTGTTTACAATGGTGGGTTACAGGAGGATGACCACAGTGTTTTGGGGACATAAGCAGTAGTCTTGATTAACCTGTTTAACAGTTCACTTGTGGGTAACACAAACAGTCTAAAGCCCTATCCAGCTGTAGTCATGAATTTATTCCTTAGCAAATAATGGTGGATAAAATTAGCAGACATCTGGAAGAGGCACACATTTCAAAGTTATTTTGGTCGAAATGTATAAAGCACACTATGAAGAATATGATTGGTAGCTGGTCTTAATAAACAGTTAGTGAGTTCTGCCTGCCTAAAATGCAAAACAGATGTATCTTTGTTCTTTTAAAGTGACTTTGATGAATAAACTACATGTGACGTCAGGTACAAGCTATTGGATGTCTGAGTCCGGCAGAGAAATTTTTTAGAATTAAAAAAAAAAAAAAAGAAAACTTTCCATTGTAGACTCTGGAGAGAACAAAGTGAATTCCAGTGCGTTGCTCTCAGAGCAAATAGAAGCAGGTTCAGAGACTTTAGATAGTCAATCCAAACATTTATTATTGGTATTATTTTCAGGGAGATCTGTTTTTGTCTGCTGCACTAAACCATTTCCCTCTCCTCGCAGCAAGTCTCAGACTTCGTCTATTTGCATCAGTATTAAGAGGCTCTGGCTTTGGAGGGTGTTTTTTTTCTTTTGCCCTTTTTTGGTTTTTTGGTGGTTTTTTTTCTTCTTTCTTTTGGATTTTATTCCCTCCCGTTTTGTTTTGGGAAAGGGAGGGCTGGGAGGAGGAGGAGGAGGAGGAGGAGGAGGGTGAAAAGGAGGACAGGCAAATGCTTCCAAAAGGAGAAGGAGTGTGCAGACACAATACTATATCTAAAGGCTCTTTAACTCTGCTGAGTTTTGCTTTTGTTTTGTCATGAGCAATTTAACATTTTTCAGGGAAATAGTCTCTGCTTTGGTGTGCATTCTTTGGCAGATAGAGCAAGCAGGCAGTTTAGTGCTGTACCCCTTGTGTCAGGAAGTCAGCTCATTCACTGCAGGTGTTTCATCCATAAACAAGCATCAGCCACAGACTTCTTTTTCTTTACGGAAACCCTCTGGAATTTAACTTTCAGATACAAATACTTGGAGAGGTTGGCAGCAGAGGAGTATGAGAAGGAGCTGAAGAGTCGGAGCGTATGCCGAGGCAGAAGTGAGCTGTCCTTGAACCTGAGATCTCCTTCAGCCCCATCCTCACCTGCCCCATCATCACCTGTACCCAAGTGCGTCAGCCCAGCATCCATAGAGTCCCAGGAAGAGCTGAAGACCCCTTCCACCCCTTGTGGGACCCCTCAGCCTTCAGAAGGTAAGTGAAAAGGAGGGCAGGGGAAAGAGTATTGATTTTATCTCCGTTTATTCTGGGCTAGCAATGCTTTAGATGCATGAGTCCAAGCATATAACCTCTGAGATGCCAAAGTAAAGGGTCATCTTGTATTGTTTCATGCTGTCTTTTTAAATTTCCTCCATTTTTTTGCATAGATTTGAATATCTTCTAGTCTATTCAAGCAACAAACACACTGCTAATTGGGGCTATGATTTATATTACCATTGTCTGTTGCTATTAGAATGGAATAATTGGAAAATAAAGCATACAGAGGGTCTTAATTTTGGCATCATGTTCTTTGTACATTAGAAGCTACTGAATACTAGACCAGTAATATTCCTACCAACAGATTTTGCTTATGTGGATTCTCTGAAAGAAATGCAACAGATGAATGCCAAGATTATAATAACCTTCCAGCAGAGCAAAGGCTGAATGGGACAAACTGGAAAGGTCTTGAATTGAAAGCAGGGAGGGTGTGTTGGTTATTTTTAACACCAACAAAAACTCTTAAAATTGTAGCACAAGTAGTAAAGGACTTAAAAGAGACCACAGACAATTAGTAACAAGGAATATATAATTAGTGTTTGCATGGTTGGTTTGCTGTCATATAATTTATTGGTGTGCAGAGCAATACTTTTTGTGTGTGCACGTCATTCTGTTACTTGCATCATGTACCCCTCCTTCAGTCCTCAAGAAACACCCACCATACAGATTTATATTTGCGCCACATGATGTTGCATTAACATTGGGAGCTAGAATGCATGTTGAGGGTGAACTATCACCATCATTCATTTTTATTTGATTTGATTTCCTGCTACATGCTATAGGTGATTAATGCATTTGTAACTTGCACTGCTTGTTTTTATTGAGTGTTATGGCTGGTAGCATGCTATAAAGCAAGGCAATTTAAGAAAAAAGTTACACATACCGAATGTTGCATATGTTTATCCTCACTGTACTAAGTAGGTGAAGTTTATTTAATTTAGGTTTTTACATTTTCACAATTATATTCCCAGTTTTCTTGTCTGACACCTTAAAAGTCTCAGTGGAATCATTTGAACTTAAAAAACATGGGTATTTTTCTGTAATACTGATATTAAGAAACATCCAGATGCTCCTTTTTTTTTTAGTGCAATCTTGCTTTTGAAGCAAATAAGCTAGATTTTTCCACCATTAGGGTTTCAGAGCTGGGTAGGGAGAAAACATCTCCTTTATGATGATTATTTAAACATATTTCTCCTGGAAACATTAAAATAAAAATGCAGCATGAAATGGAGCAGCACAATCCATCTGGAGAATGCATTTAGAGCAGGTGTACAGGGCAACTTCAGGCAGCCAGAATATGGCAAACCATTCAACACATGGGTAGTCAGGACATCACTACTAAAACTCCTGGCAATATCAGCTGCATCAGGGGGCAGCACCTTACAAGTTGACAGCAAAGAGAGAACATATGGACATGGCAGAGTAAGCCTCCAGTGAAGGGCAGCTACAGGCAGATAGCCAGGTTGGCACCAGAAGAGGGTGGTGAAATCTGCATACTTCAGCAGGAGCTGTTTCAGACCTACCAAAACCATTGGGAATATATGAAGTAATGAGCATGTAGGCAGGGCAGGCTCACTCATCTGGAGGTGACCAGATTATTGATTATCAGCCAACAGCTGGCAGGCTTATTTTTAGATTTTGTACCATAGCCTCTAGACTATTATCCAAGTTCCTTATGCTCCATAATGATTTAAAATCTCAACTTTTACTATCTTTAGGAAATGTTATGAATCCCACTTAATAGATAGAGAAACTGAGGCATTAACTTGCTTAAGGAAGTTGTAGGAAAGCTGAAATACAGCCATGGACAGAATCCAGATTACTTGTACCCAAAGCAGTTGCTTTGAACAGGGGGGTCACCATCTTCCCAAGAAAGAACGAAACTGCAGAAGCAAAACACTTCCTTGGTTCTGGGCATAGGACCCTCCAAAGACTCTGCAAGAAAGGTGCTTTCCCACACGACATCCTTGTCTCTAAATTGGAGAGACATCAATTTGATGAATGGACCACTCGGTGGATAAAGAACTATCTGGATGGCCGCACACAAAGAGTTGTGGTCAATGGCTCAGTGTCCAGCTGGAGACCAGTAATGAGCGGTGTCCCTCAGGGATGGGTGTTGGGACCGGTCTTGTTCAACATTTTCGTCGCTGACATGGACGGTGGGATTGAGTGCGCCCTCAGCAAGTTTGCCGATGACACCAAGCTGTGTGGTTCGGTTGATACGCTGGAGGGAAGGAATGCCATCCAGAGGGACCTTGACACGCTTGTGAGGTGGGCTGATGGCAACCTCATGAAGTTTAGCCATGACAACTGCAAGGTCCTACACCTGGGTCGGAGCAATCCCAGGCACAGCTACAGGCTGGGCAGAGAAGAGATTCAGAGCAGCCCTGTGAAGAAGGACTTGGGGATGCTGGTTGATGAGAAAATGAACATGAGCTGGCTTCAGTGTGCGCTTGCAGCCCAGAAAGCCAACCGTATCCTGGGCTGCATCAAAAGAAGCGTGACCAGCAGGTTGAAGGAGGTGATCCTGCCCCTCTACAATGCTCTCATGAGACCTCACCTGGAGTATTGTGTGCAATTCTGGTGTCCTCAACATAAAAAGGACATGGAACTGTTGGAACAAGTCCAGAGGAAGGCCACAAGAATGATCAGGGGACTGGAGCACCTCCCATATGAAGATCGGCTGAGAAAGTTGGGGCTGTTCAGCCTGGAGAAGAGAAGGCTGCGTGGAGACCTCCTAGCAGCCTTCCAGTATCTGAAGGGGGCCTATAAGGATGCTGGGGATGGACTCTTCATTAGGGACTGTAGTGATAGGACAAGGGATAATGGGTTAAAACTTAAACAGGGGAAGTTTAGATTGGATATGAGGAGGAAATTCTTTCCTGTTAGGGTGGTGAGGCAGTGGAATAGGTTGCCCAAGGAGGTTGTGAATGCTCTATCCCTGGCAGTGTTCAAGGCCAGGTTGGACGAGGCCTTGGGTGATATGGTTTAGAGCAAGGTGTCCCTGCCCATGGCAGGGGGGTTGGAACTAGATGATCTTAAGGTCCTTTCCAACCCTAACTATTCTATGATTCTATGATTCTGATGGGTATGTGATATTCATCTGCAGATTTCAGAACCTCAATTCAAACATGAAGTGTGTTCTCTACTAGCAAAATTTCAGAGTCAAATTTATTTTATGCTATCCAGTATCTACTGGACTTAAGAAGGAAATGGATTTTGGCTGTGGAACTTTTTCCCATGCCGTGAAACGTCTCCATATCATTACCCAATATAAAAATCTGGAATTACTGAGCTGAAGTGCTTTCTTGTATAAAACAATTGGTTCCACTAAAGTTATCAAGCCTTGTAAGACTTACTCTTGTAAAACTTGGGGTATGGCATTCAGAGGAAATGAAGGCAATCCCATAACTGCAAAGTGGAACTTAATGTGTTTTTTTTGAGAGAGCTACTTCCTCTTTTGTAATTTTATTGGAGAATATTTTATGAAGAGCACATGTGCAAAGAAGCACAATAACCAAGACATCTCTGAAGTCAGTCAACAAAGGAATTGGAGATGAACCCTTCTCTTAGAAAAGCAGATTTTTTAGCACTTGAGGAAGTAAGCAGGCCAACCCAAGTACACATTGTGGACAGTAGGAAGACTTCTGAACATATTAATAGCTGAGCAAAGCTCAAACACTGCCTACATTATGACTGGTGAAAGCATTTCGGTAAATGGAGAAGCACCAGGGTCTGAGGGTGCAGCGAGGCCATTGCAGCACCAGTTGTAGAGCCAAAGGAACCAGAGTACAGGAGGTCAGAGAAGGAACTTGGGTGGGGGACAAAGGAAGGTAATTTCTGACTTAATGAAAAAAGAGCCAGTTTCCTACTGGTAATCAGACTGTGCTAGCTTTTATCATCGCAAGGAATGGGAAGAAAAGATAAGGATGGGGGTGGAGGAAAAAAGAGAGTCCGTGATGAATTCATAGCAAGAGGATTCCTCTGTTGGAGGAACTGAAGGGAGACTGCAATAAAGACTTTAAGCAATGCCAAAACAATTGAACCAAGAGAGCTTCAGGTAGGTGTAGCCATCTTCAGACTTAGTGTATGTATCCTCAGGAGAAACTTAGCCTATGTACCTCCCAGCTCCAAGTAGAGAGCTGAGAAAATAAATAAAGCAGATGGTTGCCTAATCTATTATCCTTGCAGGGGATTAGATGTAGACACAGGAATGTTTGTTCTCTCTGAGGGGCTTTTAGGACTATGGGGTTCAGGTCTTACCTGCAGGTACTAGGGATGCAACATCTTGTGTCTGCTTCAAAGTTTATTTATAGTTGAGTATCAAAAGAAAAGTCACTACTCTCCATGTCCCTATATAACGTTGTAAGCCCATAGTCAAATTTGTCAGAAGAGAGCAGCTTGCTCTGCTTTCTAACCTCTCCCTCAAAAGAGGGCTGTCACCAACATCTGATCAGATCATAACCGATCAGGTTACTAGGGCTTTTTATGACCAAGTCTTGAAAATGGCCAAAGATGCAGTTTGCACCATAGAATCATAGAATCATAGAATAGTTAGGGTTGGGAAGGACCTTAAGATCATCAAGTTCCAACCCTCCTGCCATGGGCAGGAATACCTTGCTCTAAACCATATCACCCAAGGCCTCGTCCAACCTGGCCTTGAACACTGCCGGGGATGGAGCATTCACAACCTCCTTGGGCAACCTATTCCAGTGCCTCACCACCCTCATGGGAAAGAATTTCCTCCTTATATTCAATCTAAACTTCCCCTGTTGAAGTTTTAACCCATTACCCTTTGTTGCCTACACTACAGTCCCTAATGAAGAGTCCATCCCCAGCATCCCTGTAGGCCCCCTTCAGATACTAGAAGGCTGCTAGGAGGTCTCCATGCAGCCTTCTCTTCTCCAGGCTGAACAGCCCCAACTTTCTCAGCCGATCTTCATGTGGGAGGTGCTCCAGTCCCCTGATCATTCTCATGGCCCTCCTCTGGACTTATTCCAACAGATCCATGTCCTTTTTATGTTGGGGACACCAGAACTGCACACAATACTCCAGGTGAGGTCTCACGAGAGCAGAGTAAAGGGGCAGGATCACCTCCTTAGACCTGCTGGTCATGCTCCTTTTGATGCAGCCCAGGATACTCAAAACAACAAAGTCTTTGCACATTCTCTTACACTGTCTCTTTTAGTGATTAGATTAGGTTCTTGAGAGATTTCAGTCTTCTGAGAGGTCTTTGCATTTTTTTCTAATTATACATTTTTAGAGATTAAGTTCTGGCTAAAAAAGAAGAGGGCATATAACTCAAAAATTAGTCCTTAAATATACATTCAGTTTTCCTCCTCCTGATTAATCCAATTGCAAATGAAACTTCTTCTCATTTGGTTTAAAGGGGGGAGAAACTAAGCCTTGGGAGAAGTGTGAAAAAAGGCATTTGCAGGTAAAGAAAGATTGCCTCTACTATTGAACTCCTTTTGTCTGGTGTGAAGATGGATCCCATAGATAAGAGACTAAAAGTCCCAGCTCATTTTCAGTAGGGCACCACCAGGCATTCAGTGAGAACTGTATTTTTTAACATCTTCAGAGGTCCTTATCTATAGCATCACAGCGGATTACACAATGGAGCTGCAAGTAGTGGATACAGGTCTCGCTTGCTGGCTTGCTTCTTCTGCTAGCATTTGCTGACAGATTTGATTTTTCAACTGCCTTTTAAGGGAAACACTAATGGACTTAGCTCACTATTTATAAGCTATTTTGGTTATAGGTGGATTGCTTGATATTATCCCTAAAGAGAAAGAGACTGGCAAAATGGAGAGAGGAAGTGGCTGGTCTCTTTTCCCAAGTAAGAAGAAATTGGACAAGAAGTAACAGCTTCAGGCTGAACCAGGGAAGGTTTAGACTGCATATTCAGAACAATTTCTTCACAGAGAGGGTGATCAGGTATTGGAACAGGCTGCCCAGGGAAGTGGTGGAATCACCGCCCCTGGAAGTGTTGAAAACACACGTAGATGAGGCCCTCGGTGAGATGGAATAATGATTGGACTCTATGATCTTTAAGTATTTTCCAACCTAGTTGATTCTATGATTTTATGAAAATGAGTGTCAAGACATCCTTGTTTTGTTATAGAAGTGCTTAGATTTTGATACTCCTCAAACTCAAAAGAGCAGCCTGTGTCAGTATATTGCTCTTTACTCTTTGTCATGTATTAGATTCTGCTAAGATACTGTATCTTTCTAGTATGTGTGGAATACTCCCTGTTTGAAGAGTATCCAGAATTCTTCTGAATATTCCCTTTTTCTCAAGCATTCCTTACATCTCCCCTACTTTATCCTATTGAATCTTCAGTATAGCTTCTTGACAATAAAGGTGCCACAAACATTAACAGTCCTGACGATGTTTTAGTCAGTTTCTTTCTCCACCTGACCTGTTACAGCTAACTTTTTTGGTTATTGCATGACACTGTTTCTAGGGAGAAATGTATAAAATTCATATGAAACCATTATTATTCTAGGATGAATTAATGGCAGTTGTATGTATGGACCATCATAGCATGGCAACCTCAGCATTTCATGCTACGGTACCATGTTAATTCCATGAACTCCTGAAGGATTCCTAAGCTTTCATCTCAGAGTGTTTCAAAACATCGTAGAGGAATCTGAATGAGAATGAACTTTATATTAAACGTACATTTCTCATATATAAATGTATTATAGGTATGCGTGTCTGGTTGTTTATCTAAATATTTAAACATTAAACATTTAAAATCAATTGTGAAAGTGTAGAAGCTTAGCTCCAGTGAAATTAGTGGCAAAAGAAGCTTTTGCAATTTTGTATACTTAAATTATATGTAATGAAGTGGGATAATAAGGTACTGAAGATGCATTACTGAAAACTAGCTTAAAGACATAGGTGTTATTGTAAAGATAGGCACAAACATTGCTACAAATCATTGTTCTTTCTGGGGATGCCTCAGAAAAGAGTCTAGGCACACAACGTGAAACAGTTAATAGAAGGAAAAAACAAGTATGACTTGGTCATTGTAGTTTAGCCACCCAACACACAATTTAGTACAGAGGGAATTTGGGAAGTATGCAGAACTAACACGCATGCCCATTTTCATCACTCTTGCATGGCCATTTCAGTTTTCAGAAAACTGTGAGCTGCTTGATGTGGATATGTGTGGATGCTTTTCAGTTTCTTTGCAGCATGCAGAGAATATGTGCATGTGAAAATCTGCTGTTAAAGCTCAGAGGCCTAAAGGTGAATGAATTCCACTGTCAGTGATAAAGCAGGGAAGAAAAACCAAGTTTACTATCAACAGTGTTTGCTTTGTACCAACTGATAAAAAGCTAAGTATGCCATATGCCAACCAATTGGAAACTGAATTTCTGCCATATGCCAAGCAGTTGGAAACTTTGTTCACTTTTGATGTGGCTATTCTGAAGTAAATGTGCATGAAAAACATATGGGTTTTGTCAGCCAAAAGTGTGACAGTGCCATTTCCAGACTGTGCCATTCAATTGTGTTAATAAAACTAATATTTGTACTTTCTCGTTGAAGTGTTCCTCATCAGGTGAGAAAAGAATTCTTCCAGAACCCAAAGAAAATTCAACCAAAAGCCACACTCTCCCTCCTTTTCGCTTTTTAAAAGATCTCTTCCTTCCTGGCTCTGCTAGGCACTGAGTTGTCAGTCACGCTCAAGTGGGATGCCCATTTTCTGCTGGTTGCTTCAAATCCTTATGTGTGTCCAACACTCCAGCTGTGGAAGTATGTACAGAAATAGCAGGCTGGCTCCAGACAGCAAGCGAGGGAGTTTGCCAGGCCACTCTCATATGCAGTGCTGTCGTCGCACAACATTCATCAGTCTGTTGCTCTTAATGTTCAGCATGCCATGGACTTGCTTTTTATTTTCTTTCTGTGAAGCACTTGTACAACTTTCACATCTCTCTCATTCAGAGGGGTGAGCCTGAGATAACTCCATTGTTAAGTGAATATCTTTCTCCCATTGTTCTCTTCACCAGTGAGTGCCAGTGAACCTGAACCAGAGACAGAGACAGAACCAGAACAGGAGGCTGAGGCCAAGCAGGGAACGGAGACACCCAAGGAAATAGAGACTACAGAGGTGGGACCAGAGAGTGAGGTGGAGCAAGGACCAGAAAGAGAGCCAGAAGAAAGTGCAATACTCAGTGAAAAAGAAAGGCAGAATGAGGAAGTGAATGAAAAAGACAACTGCTCTGCATCCAGTATATCCTCAGCAAGCAGCACTTTAGAGAGGGAAGAGAGAGAGGACAAGTTAACCAGTGACAATGAAACTGGTAAAGTGAAGTTTTTTCAATAATGAAGGGTTTCTGGTGTAAAAAAAAAAAAATGTTTAATTAGCATCTCTGTTGTTGTGTAAATTAGCTAACAAGCCCTTTGCACCTATGTAACACTTTCTTCACCCTGGCCAAGTTTTGTCTACTCTCTCCTTGGAAATCACAGATGGAATGGTGTTTCTATGTTTGAGGGACTGTACCGCCTTGATGAAATGAGGTTTCCTTTGATTTTAGACAATTTTCTTCTCATAAGGTAATATATTAAGTGTGGAATCATAATGTTGCAGCAACTTGCATCTCTGGCTCTCAGAGAATCCTCTACACATAAAGGAGTAAGACAAGGGGTTGTGCTGAAATAAGTTGTCATGAGATTCCAGATATCTTTTCTCATCCTTTTATTGGAAGAGAAAGAGCAATGAGGGCTGGAGTGTTTGTTCCTTCCCTCCAGTTCTCCCATCTTGGTTAGGTTTCAGAAAGCAGAGAGGGATACATTGGAGCCACTAAAGATATGTGGCCATCTTTAGCTGGTGTGGAGGAGGCACATGAAGTAGACCTCGACTGGAAAAGACCATTTCTGCAGTGAACAGTTGTTCTGTTCAGGTGTGCCACCAGGTGCCTGTAAAGGCCCAGCCTAGAAGTCGCCTTAAGAGCCAGCTTTCTGCCTGGAGAGATAATGACAACTAGAGCTTGTCATCCAACCCAGGCAGGGAGGGAGTGAAAGGCAGATTTTGAACCTTTGATTAATTATTCTTTTCCCCTTTTTTTAGGGAGGTGAAGGAATCTAATGTTGTTAGGGCATTTGGTTTCCAAGTTTTCTTAGGGCTGAACAGTTGAGTGCATTGTTCTAAGTTCTCTAAATTCTAGATAAGAAAACAAGAATTAAAAAAAATCACAGTTTGAAATAGTCTTGATCTTTCCTGAAAGAAGAGGGATAACTCTGAATCACAAGGATTACCTCACAGAGATAAACTGTCAGATTGTATTGTTCGTGTTTAAACCCCATCACTTTTGGGGGTTTTTGTTGGTGGTGGTGTGGGGTTTTTTCCTGGGAAAAATTTTATGGCACAGACAATTAATACCATCATTTTATTCTAAATTTAAGAGCTAATTATTTTTTTAACCAGCACTGGAATTGAGTTACCTAGAATGCTATTGTCTTAAAGAATGTAGATGGATATATGTGTAGGAAAGGGAAAGGGAAGGGATGTACAACAGATGAAGGATGTTGTTACACTGTGGCATGTTCTAAGATAGGCCAAGCGCAGATAAGGGTTTTGCCCTCATCTTGTCAGGTATCAAGCTGTTACTACTATTAAGTACTTACATGCTTTTTGTTAAAAGCTAAGAAATGTACACTGTTATTGAAAAATCAACATCTTAAAATTGACCTGTGTTACCAGTAGACCAAAGATGTACTAGGTCGTGCTATGTAGGAGGTCTCATGTAGTAAGTTGTTTGCTGTCTAGTAAGTGAGGAGATTTGGAAAGCAAACAAGAGCACTTTCTTCAGCAGTTCTCACATTTCCAGCAAGCAGTTTGCCATTTATGAGGTGGCTCATTTGTTCTGCCCAGATGCATTAAGGACAAAGGAATAAAGACTTTGGTCCTGGCTCTTCCTTCTTTAGCTACCCTGCTGAATTTGGCTTCCAACAAGCCATGTTTCTCCAATGATATTTCAAAGCTTTACCTGTGGAGATGAGTGCAGAAGAGGCCACCAAGGTAGCAAGAGTCTTCACTGATCTTTGATCAGCTAGGGCACAAGGAGGAGTCTTGGAGAGCCAAAGTTGGAGATTTTGTCTGGGGGAATTTTGATGACCAGTTTTGCAAAGGGGTTAAATCATGGAAGATCCCAGCTGCTGAAACTGAGAGTGAGTAGGTCGTGAGGGATTTATAGGAGGGATCCGAAGAACAAATATTTGAAGGAAAAGCTGGGAGTAGGGGAAAGTCCTTGGAAAGGCTTAGCAGGTAAAATTTGTGATGTGGGGAAGGAGTTGTCACACATCAAAGACAAATCTAAGAAACTACCTCAGGTGACAAGTCTTGGCGAGAAAGCAATCCCGTAGGTAAGGTGTGAAGAAAAATAAACAGGTAATGGAAGCAGTCAACCCTTCTTCAGGAAAGTTGAAAGAAACAGTTCTGGAGGTTGTATCCATTGCTGAAAAAGGAGGCTTTCTTTTGTTTGGGGTTAAATCTCTGGACTCATCTTAAAATGTGTTTTAGGTGAGAGTCATTGCATTCCATATGCTTTGTGCTGTGAGACCCATCCTACATCTTAATGTGGTGTAAGGGGTAAGGGAGAGCTGTGGGGCCCTGGATGTGGATCATGCCAAGGGGACACTTCTCAGAGCACTGAAATAGATAGTAAAAAAACAGCTCCATTGAAGGAAACCATAAAAGATGTTTAAAACTAAAGTATTAAAACAGGTGAAGAAGGGGAGGAAGCGGAGAAATACAGGTAAAATGGAAGTTTAAGAGAAAGGGCAGCTGATAGGTATAAAGGAAAATGTTTAACCACAAGGGGCCAAAAAGAAGGCAGGCTAGTAACCAAAATGAAATGTGTTTAAGAAATAGAGTTTATAAAAAATACATTAATAAAATGTGCAAAAACCATGGGGAAAAGAAGGAATCCCATACAGGAAATACAGTAAGTGTGAAGAATTATCTTTGTTCATGTTTAATCATTTCATAGGATGCCCACTGGAAAAAGAAACACCATACATTTTAGACACGCTATCTACATTGGTTAGCAGCATTATATTAAAGGAAATTTAGTCACAGAGACACTTACATCATTTATTTTTACAATTTGACCACTGTAGCTTGTTATTTATGGTGCTGTCTCAAACATGGTATTTTGCAGATTATTGTTGAGAAAAATAGTAGTCAGAAAGATGAAGCTTCGTTACAGTGAAGTTAAATGATTGTGATGTGGGAAGAAGGCCATTGGGCTTTCAATGCCATCATATATTGATGGCTTGGCTTTGCGAACGAAGATTTGGGAAGGGCTTTAACCACGCTTACTACAAGCACGATGACCAAGGGTATGTGGGATATGCAAATTTGGCTGGAAAAAAGGGTGCTTAGGCAATCAGGAAGTGTCTGACCAGGACTGTCATCTCCTGAGCGATCTCCAGCTACCCATGTGCTGGTCCGCCTGCATGCAAGATTGGATCTACAGCTACCCATGCACCTTGTCACCTACCGTTTTGACCCTCGCCTGGCCATACAGACAAGTGAGAGTAAGCCCTTCCAGCCTGCGCAGTATATTACAGGGAGGGTAACAGTGGTTAATGATAAGCAGCATTTTCAAGGCTCTTTTGTAAAGGTGCTCATATTCCTAGAAGTAACTTTTAAAATCTTGCTTACACTTATACTCATTAAGTTGCCGAGAGCTATACCATGGGTATGCAGCCTGCTCTGGGGTTCAAATTCCTTCCAAGCTATGCTGGTTATTTTCAGCTCCCATTCCTTTGTTGAGAATTACTCCCAGCCCATCAAGATTGGGCCATGTATCAGCACTCTCATTTACTTCAGTTTTTTTAAAGCTACTGCTTGCCCAGTTTCCAAATAATTGTCCATGTGTCCCCCCATTTTTTCTGGTGGGTTAAAGAGTGTTCTTGGTGCTTTGGCTCCCTCCCCTTGACTCTTTCTGTCTGTGTGTGTGTGATTGCAGGTCCATGGTCACAGACCATTCAGGATGCTGGTGTGAATGAACAGTGCAGCACCATTCTCAACAACAAGCGGTTTATGCTGGACATGTTGTATGCGCATAACAAAAAACCCAAGGATGAAGAGGAGAAGGAGCTGGAGGCGAAGGAGGAAAAGAAGGAGACGGAGGAAAGTGAGGAGTCACTCACTAGCCTAGCCAGTAGGATCTCTATCCTTCAGGCCACAAAGCAGGCCAAAGACGAAAGCGTCAAAAAGATGGAGATTGGAAATCTGGACAACCAAGGCAGTGTGAAAGCCTTTGCAGAAAAATTCAACAGTGGTGAGCTGGCCAAGGGGACAGCTGTGCCTGAAGATGAAATCAGTGAACAGGTCCCTGAGAAAACTCCAGCACAGCCGAAGAAGGAATCTGACTACATCTGGGATCAGCTCATGGCTAATCCTAGAGAACTTAAAATCAAAGACATGGATTTTACAGACTTGGGGGAGGAGGATGATGTAGATGTGTTGGACATGGATATGGGTCCTGGGGACTCCCTTGTTCCCCCTCCTCCACCTCCACCTTCCTTTCTGGGTTTGCCTCCTCCACCACCTCCCCTGCTGTTTGGATGTCCGCCTCCACCTCCACCCTCTGCTAATTTATTGGCTCCTCCTCCGCTGTTCAGCACTCCTCAGGGTTTAGGGTCACCCCAGGTTTCTAGGGGTCAGCCAGCATTTATAAAGAAGAAGAAAACCATTCGTCTGTTTTGGAATGAGGTACGGCCATTTGAGTGGCAGTGTAAAAACAACAAGCGCTGCAGAGAATTCCTGTGGTCGAAACTGGAACCCATTAAGGTGGACACTTCCAAACTGGAGCATCTCTTTGAGTCTAAATCCAAGGAACTGCCTGTCACAAAGGTACAGCTCGTATTCAGCTTGTTATTATTTTGCTATTGTACTAGTATTCATTCTGAGTTAGATCTACGTGATTTATGTTGTTTGTATGAAAACAGTGGAAAATTCTGGTTCTCACTTGGCCTATGATGGATGATATTCCATGGCCTGAAACTAGGAGGTGAGTTTAGGGTGGGGTACATGCCAAGCTGCCCTCCTGTCTCAGGTCTGTCAGTTTTGGGACATTAATTCAGGTGGCGAATACCAACACATTCTGTGTTAGCTTGCTTGTGGCTGAGTGCCAAAATAGGTATTGAAATCTGAAATATTTTCTGTTACAGTCAGGTAAAGGTCATGGCATGATGATTCATATCTGTGAATTTGACCGTTCTTCACTTGGTAATATTTTCCTAATCATTATGTGGAAAGGTTAGAATACCAAACTGGCTCTGCTGCAAAGAAGCTACACATGTGCTTTGTTCTGAGGGATCGATTTATCAGCTGGACCAAGTTTACAGCTAAACTCTGCAGGGGTGTTGGGTTTTTGTTTTATACTGGCAGACAGGCCTATTTTAGATCCTTAATTTGTACAATGTGGCTCTCCAAATTTTAGGATAGAAGCTGGCACAGGAAATACCTCTGTAGCTAGGGTTCCCTATTCCTTAGTATTGTTATAAAACAAATTCACAGAGGCTGGGTGACATGGCTGTTTAACATTAGACTCAACAACAAAAGGGAGCCTTTTATAGTTACACTTAGTAGGAATTTGAAGTGGCATTTAAAAAGTTATTAAAGTTTGCTTTTCATGGCTACATAAAATTCTACGCAGAATAATCAGTATCAAGGAAGCAATTTTTTTTCCAACTAAAATGCTAGTAAAAGATTTCAATCTCTCTTAAATAAATCACTTATGTTTTTTTCTCTATGCCTGTATGTTTTATAGTGACACAAAAACCCATCAGCACCTTGAATATTTTACTTCTCTTCGGCGGGCAAAGTTGTTATCTGTGCTATCTATCATGCATATTATTGTTTGCTGTCATCTAGGGAGACTGGATGTCCCACAGTAAAAATTCTCCATGGCACTTGTGTGGGTTATTAACTCAAAATTTTCTAATAGTCCTTCTTGAACTTCTTGGCCAAGTGGAAACATTGCAATTTGAACAATCAAGCCCCTCATTAAGTACCTGACAAACAACAGGTACATACATAGATGGCTTGCAGAGGTCCTGCCGCCATTGTTCTTACCTGACATAGATGCATGTAGGTCTGAAACGTATGGCATAGCAGCTCTAAAAACACACATAGTTCATTTGGCCGAGATTAATTTCTTTCTCTAATTCCTTTTCTGCTGAGGAAGGAATGCTGGTGACATCGTGGTGTGTTACTCCTCATCTCTCTCCCTGTAAATACAGATCTGCCACAGATGGTTCAAAGATGGAAGGAATGAGAGCATTTTCTTAGATCCATAAAACATTTAATTCCTTGAATTGAATGTGGAATGATGACATATTTGCCATTTCCAAGGTTTAGCTTTGTGCTAAATGCCAATATTGTAATGGATCTCTCTGGCTGACTCTTAATCTTTTATTCTCACCCAAGATTCTGATAAAATGTTAAATTGTTGGAATTCTGACATATTTACTTTTGCAGTCATTAACTGTGCACATTCCCAAACTACTTTTGGCCATTTTCCCTCCCTCACACTTGCTTCGCAAACCTGCCTGATGCTTTGGCACAGCATTTGGCTTCTGGCTGGAAGATGAGTGAGCAGGTTTCTTTGAAATTAGTGCAAGTCTGAGGAATGATTTAGGTGACTGCTTTTCTCTTGGAGACTAATAACTGCTCTCTGCATGAGCCGTTATGCTTTTGGCTCTCTTTCTACCCCGTCCCATTACACAGACGTTGAAGTCTCATTGTCTCTGGAGGGAAGACAGTGGTGACCAAGGAATACCATAGTGGAAGTTTAGCCTGACTTCTGAGACTCCTGCCTGGTTTTGGAGAATACAGGCAAATCTTCCAGGGTAGGGGATGATCCTTAGGTCAAGTGAGAGTGGGAATAATTAAGCAGACCACTGGATCCATAAAAGACTTGAGGTTTGGTACGAATATTACACTCAAATTAGGATAGCTCTCGCTTTTTCCAGACTGCTTGGTTTATTTCCAGGGAGTACATTCCCCGTTGTGTCTAGTTTCTCCTGTCCAATGGCTGCAATCCAAAACAGGTTTATTCTATAATATCGTAAAGTCTGACTCACAGCTCAGTTCAGCTGAAGAAAAGAGCAGAGAGCAACAAATCAAAAGTCAAATCTCCAGTTTTCATAGCAATAGATGGAACTAGGAGCACAGAAAAGTAACAGTCCAGAAGGATGAGAGGAAAAGCAAAGTCAGGGGGTATGTGTTGGGGGGGGTGTCCCTGTGTTACGCATTTGCTCTTTCATGCAGCTGTAACCAATTTTACTCCAGTTTCTAATCCTTCACTGTGATTTCCACAACACACAGCTATAAACAGCTACTTCCTGGCTCATGAGAAGTTTTTCATTAAACACAATAGACTGCAGTAAAATAAAGTGGGTTTTAAGTTATAGGATATAATATGGGAGCTGGGGAGAAGGAGGGTTGATTCTTGATTTTAGGAAAACTTATGCCACACTGGACAACTTGCACAATGATTATAGTTAGTGGAGCACCTTTAGTTGCAGAACACTTATTTTCTAAATACGGGACCACGACATTATGCTTGTGAATAGAAAGAATGGTCAGGTATCCCCTTCAAGCCAGTCTAGCATTTCTTTCTTTCTTACTCCACCAAACAAAGCACTTCAAAGTGTTTGTTTTTCTGTGAGGAGAAATGAAAACACACGGATACTACTGAATCAACCCCGGTTGTTCAGCCATTGGTTGTGCATGAAAGTTTTGTTTTGCTGATTCATCTATACCCTGTGGGATATAGTGATCCATCAGGTGCCCACAGACATAGAAACTAGTAGAAGGAAAAAATTAAGGCACACATTTTCATGTGCCTGTGTATATACACGCTTAGATACATATTCCTTTTGAAAACATTTGTTGTAATTTGAATAAATGCCAAGGCAAGTCATAAATGTGTATGAGAATTTCTAAAAAAGATTATATATATGTATCCTGGACAAAATCAGTGGCAGCTGAGTGATTCCATTTTAAACTCATAGTGCTAAATCCTTGTTAATTGAGCTAGAAATTAAGGAAAAAATACCATCTGGCTATTAAAGGATTGAGATGCAGGTTGTTCTGCAAATGCAAATGAAATATTTCTGACTTGATGCTTATATATAATTACTTATTTATATGATCACTGGAAAAGCATTTTAAATTTTCCTATTTTAGTTAAAGCAAAGAGGCCTGGTTTAGACCATGTGCTCATAAGCCTGCAAATCACCTTCTGTGGGATGAGAGCAGTTTTTAAGGAACCTGTTTGGGCTACCCAAAAAAAGAACAGAATCTGGCCAGTTAGGTCTTGTAAAGATTGAAATTCATTGTAATTGTTAGTGCATTTCTAGGAACATTTGTTTCCCACAAATTATACCACTTGATATATTTGTAATTCATTTTACATTTACAGTTTATAATATTCAGAAGTTCAGGGATTACGTTACATACCGACACAATAAAATATAAAATCAAGGGCACTAGTGCAATGTTCCCTCAAGCACTTGAAGTCATTCTCTGTTAATGAACTTATAAAGCCCAGTCTGAAGTCACCTAATATTGCAATAGAATTTAATAGGTGTAGCTTATTTTAACAGACACTTACATGTGTACAATTTAATTGCAGACAAAAAGCAGTTCTTTGCCTAGTGGTGGGGTGATAAAGTTCATAGTAGTAAAATCTTTCTCGTTTCTTCTTCTTTTTATTTATTTCAAAAGGATCTTTTTTGTAATTTAGCTGTTGTCCCCAGAATGGTTTAAAATCTCTTCTGCCCCTGTTCCTGAAGAGTGAGTTACCCCAAAATCTTATATTCCATATGCAGTTATAGCTCTGGAAAATACCTACATGCATACATCCCTGTACAGCTCATCTGTCTTTCGTAACTCACTGCTAAATAGCAAGTGTGCTGTTGCAATCTTAGTGAACCCAGTGGTTAGCATCATATGTCCCTCAAATTACTGTCTCTCTTGTCAGACTTGCGAACCTAAAAACAGAGCTTCAGATTGGAGGCTTACTTACCCATACTGCATGTGGGAAGCCTAAATTTAATTCCTTCCCCCCCAGCCTTTTTCCTTCTGCATAAATTCTTCGGAGCTGTGTAATTCTGTGCTGAGAAGGACAAGGTTAAAAGTGGTAGTTTAAAAAAGGCTTAGCATAATACAGACTCAAGAGGAAGCAGTCTCTGGTAAACCCCACTTGTTTTTATGTGGCCTTGACCTCTAACTGCGGTCCTGAAAATGTGGTTAATGGCCCTGAAAGTAGACATGACTGCTTTAAAGGAGAAGTTGCATCTCAGATCCTTCAGGTAGCTCCTGAGAAAATCCTGAGAAAAAGAGGGCTCTTTTATTCAAAGAAGGGAAAGTTCAAGAAAGCTTCAGGAATACTTTTGAGGGATTTAAGAGAGCAGTTCTGACAGAACAAAAATATAAAAATTAAAAACAAATTTTATCTTTGCTCTCCTAAAACTTACCCATTTTACTGCAGAAGTGTTTAATTTTTAAAAAACCCAACCCTCTTATTACTTTCAGAGGTGGTAGTCCCCAGCTCCTGTGAAGTGCACTTGCTTTCAGTCTCATCTGCACACACAACTTGCATTGTACCACATTAATCATGTAGGTATGATAAAGTGCTGCGGTGCCACGCACCATGCTGGGCAAGGTGCTATGACTGGTGGGCAAACCTCTTCCTGTGCAGGCAAGGAATGGAGCTATGCCAGAAAAAGGCATCTTTTTAATGAGAGAACATCATTCCCATAATGAGCTGACCCACAGCTGGAGGTATTTTGATGGAATCGTATTTGCTACCTTAGTTCTTCCAATGCAGAAACAGCATGTAGACCTGACAGTAGGGTATGTTTTGACTTGGTGACTGTTGTGCAGACCCCAAGGACGCGGATAAAAAAAGTTTTGTGGTCTAAAAAGCAATCTTTAGCGCAGGTGGAGAATTTGTGCTTTCATTGTTGTTTACACTGGAGGTAAGATCCCAATATTATGTCTAGTCTCAAACAGAACTTTGAAAAAAGCAGAAGAGTTGAGCCTGTTCTGCACCTGTGAAGGTTTTGACAGACATATCATGAGCAGTAATGTAGAATACCCTTCCTATGGCAGCCAGAGGTCAGAAACCCATGCCACTTTCTCCAGAAAGGCCTCTACAGCTCCTTTGCCAGTGCCCAAATTGGATTTATAACACAGGATAGCACTGCCAGGTAGGAGCCACCCTGTCTGTTTCCCATCCAGCCACACAGGCAAGAGAGGGTCAGTGGCCACTCTGGGTTGACTCATCCAAGGGGTAATTGAGCCCCAGAGCCCATCAGCTGCCCAGCTGCTACCGTACTGACCCTGTGGTAGAGCTGCTGCCCATCCGAGACAGCTTCAGGCTTTTTTCAGACAGACTCCTACCCCAAACTTCAGTGTTCTCAGGCCTTACAGGCACTTCTGTGTCTCAGACTAGCTCTGCTTTGCACAGCATCCAAGACTGCATTCAGCACTCTGGTTAAATACTGGCAGCTCATGCTGATAGCAGTAAGGATGTGGTAGAAGATTTCAGCTTTTTGGATGGTTATAAATGAATTAGTTTTACATCCAGTATCATCACCCTTGAGTAGGGGAAGTCATTAGTGAAAGGAGTGACTTTTTCTTCATAAAACAGGCAGGAGAAATAATATTCTTGTTCTCTTCTTTACCAAGAAAACTGCTGCAGATGGGAAGCGACAGGAGATCATTGTACTGGATTCAAAACGAAGCAATGCTATTAATATTGGCTTGACTGTGTTGCCCCCTCCCCGCACTATCAAGACTGCTATATTGAACTTTGACGAATATGCCTTAAACAAGGAAGGAATAGAGGTAAGGAAGAATAGTCTATGTCTTCAAGTCTGTATTTTCAATGTTTCCTTTACTTTTTAATTTATTTTTTTTTTGATGTTGTACATGATGCAGGCCAGACTTTTCTTGCAAGAGGGAAACAGGGATTTATTATATCATGACTGAGTGTTGAAACTGGTCAGATCAATGGAGTGTGCTCAGAAGCATGTAGTATTCACCTGAGATTGGGCATGCTTAGTAAACACAGATTCTCTGCTCTGTTTATGTCTGAATAACGATGGTGTTAATTCCTGTCAGGATTTTCAGGGTATCATCTGTTCCTCTGGAGCTTGACTGAAATATTGTGAGCAGCAAGAATAGGCAGGGAGTTACTAGGGCTGATGCAACTGGTACAGGGTTTAATAAAGTTCATGCCCAGCTAGCTGTTGGAGTCATTCTAGATTGTATATCTAATGGAAAACAAATACAGTGACTAGTTCTGCTCAAAATAGCATTTTTGTGTTACTGTTGTTTGAAGAAAAGCAGTTGGTATAAAGATTACAGATGATGTAATTTTTACCATTACATTTTGACTTTGCAGATATTCTTAACAAGATCCAAGATGAGCTCTGTTTATTATTTTTTTTATCAGAACATTTTTCTTCTATGAAGTGTAAAAGAAGCCTGCTGCTCCCCTGGTTTTTTTCATTGTAGTTGCATTCATGTCAAAGCTTTTTTTTTTTAATAAGCCTATATCATCTAGTAAAAGTAATCTACACAACTACATATCTCAGCAAGTAGCTGAGGTGCAGAGGTTGTGTATTGATTCACAGTCACCTTTCAGTGGTTTGGCTCTGTGCTCCATGATTTCTCCCTTTCTACCTTCACTGTGCTGACTACAGAAGAAAATGAGAAAAGCTGGCTACAATGGAAATGGAGTTGCCAACAGTTACATGCAAATTAAGTACTTATGGCAAAAAGATCATTCTAGCTAGAAGGCAAGGCCTGATTTATCCCTACTAGAATGTAGTTTCTTCCCAGAGCTATATTATTTATTGGCTATATATATACGTTACTCGTATTAAGAAGGTGACACATCAGGCTAAAAAAGTAGCTTTTCACGACTCAGCCCATATGCCTACCAGTGCAGTTTGCAGTACCAAGCTCTAAAGTGTTGGAGAGAAGTACCCCTCCAGCCAAGCCCAACTCACAGACCCCCAGTTAGATCTCAGTGCTGTAGGTGATCTTGCCATACAAAGTCCAACATAAAATGGATGATACATCTTCCATGCATTAGCTCTTTCGATTCGTGTCCTTCTCTCTCATGGTTAACAGAAGTTCCGCTGCTCTGCCCAGCTCACCCTTTCTAGTACAAGCATGTGTAGCTGTCCTGTCCTTCTGTCAACCACCTGTGGTGTCCACAGTTGTGAGTGCCTTGTACCACCACACCCTGCTTTGGGTGGCCTTCCCATTAGCTGCCAGAAACCTGTAATTTCATTTAAAATAGATATGCAGGTAGCTTTCAAATTGAAGAATTCAGAAACCAGGAAACAATACTCTGTTGATATACTTGCCCAGTGCTAAACAAAACTGGTTTCTGAGTTTTGAGTCCACAGCTTGAAGCTAAGGATGTGAGTAATCCTGATGTGATCTTTCAGATATTTAAAATCAAGAGAAAGGGTAAGTGGAGCAGAACCCATGTACTCTGCATCCTGAGGGGTGAAGCTTTCCAGCAGATCTAACATGGAGCAAGACACCAGCAGGGTAGCAAGTTACCTGAGCCGTCCTTTGCCTCAGCTGTGAGCTCTGTGCTATGTCTCCTTCCGAGGAGCATTGCCACTGTTCTGTTAGTGTGCACATGGCTTTAAGTCTGCACCTTGGTGGATAAGTTCGGATTAAAGGGTATCTTAAGACTGACCTTAGTGATTAGATATTTAACTCTCATAATTAATCCATACTTGCTTTTTAACTTCAAATATATAACTAAGATAGGAGGAAAAAGAAATCTCCAGGTATTTTAAAACTCTCTATACCTAAGTATGTTGTGTAATTTTAGGCCATGTGTTTGAAGTGATTAGGTACTCCGTAGCTTTGAAAAAGGGCAGAGAATGGGGGCATGGTGCTAGAGAGGCAGATGTAGTCCATTTAGTATGCAGAGCAGGCACTGTTAGAAACCTGTTTTCAAAGGAATACACAATGTGTGTCTGCAAGCATGCGTCAATTCAACTAAAAATTTTTTGCCACCTTATGTTTGCCAAAGTGGTTGTGTTTTCCTTTCTTTGAAAGCTTGGCATTCATTGTGTTTAAACAACTTGGAGCTTGCTGCAGGAGAAAGGACTGCCTGCTTAGCATGGATGAGGGCATTCTGTGAGCTAAGCAAAAGAGGCGAGCTTAAAATCCTGCCTAATTGTTGTGAAGTGTATCTTGGGCAACAGCAAGAATAGGGTCTACCAAACCAGTCTTTGGCGCTTGTCTTTAGTAAAGGAAATGAGAGTCCCTCTGTAAAGTGTTGTTTAGTAAGGGAATGTGGATGCAAATTAATTATACCAAAGGGTACTATTAATTTAGCAGAGTAAAACTGGGGTAATGTCATGAAGAAATTAAAGTGGATTGCTTTGTTCTTGACAGCTTTGAGGTCCTACACAGTATTGATGCACAGCTAGGTATAGCTTTTAGTAAAACTACTTGAAATTAAAGCCTTGACAAGTATGCTAGGTCCTCCATGTTAAGTAATGAGAGACTAGGTACCCCTCAAGATGTAAAAAAAGGTAAGAAATGAGAGCCTGGTGGTAAAAAAGGCAGATGGTGACATGTATAAACAAAAAACAAAATTTGAGTTTTGGGAACTGTTACAGTTATTTAAGGTTTTGTTCTGATAGTTACTGTGGTATGCTGGCATCTGCCGTTTCCAGTTTGTTTAGCTGAAGCTTTACAAAGTGTGATGGGGACTCAATGCTGCCTTGCTGGCTGTACACCCGTGATCAGCATAACCATACCCTAACGAAAGAAAAAAGCTACACTTCCACTCCTTGCAGCAAACCAAAACATCTGCTACAGTTTCTGTGATCAGCAGTGGTGTGTTCATGTATTTCAGTACAGAGCTGAGGAATAGTCTGACCAAGGCAACGGCTGCCAGTTCCCCATTTACAGGGATGGCTGTCAGGCATTTTAGATTAAATTCCTTCTGGGAATTTGCGAGAATTGAAATAAAATTAGTGCAGGTAGCCTCACTTGCCATGAGTCCTGACCTTTATATTCTTTTATGTTTTGTTAGAGTTTCTGCAGACACTCGTGTCTCAGTAGCTGCCTGGAAAGCTGAAGTGTGAGAACCTTTTTGGAGCAAAATCATCTGCCAAAGCCTGTCAAATATCCACCAAAATACCCACTAAGGTGTATTTATTTGGTTATGGGCCTCAAGCTGCAGAAAGCTTTGAACCCAGCAACAGTCAGATAGTTAGTTTACTAATTTTTTTCAGGTTCCTATTCACTTGGTAAGGTCAGCTGAAACCAAAGATGAAAACCAAGGCACCCCTGCAGCCTCATCATCACTGAGAAGCACCGTTGTCTCTTGAAAGAGATAACTTGAGCACGTAATTTCAGCAGAGGAAGCAGCCTATTTGTAGTCTCTGGTTAGGTGCTTCTTTGCACCCCACACTGGGGCCTGTAACCCTCAGGCATATGAGGTTTATAAATTTTGCCCTGTGACACTTGTAAGGCTTTCCTCTTAGAAATTTTTTGGAGGTCATACATCAGAGTCCAGGAAATAAGCAGTTTGATCCCTTTGTTGAAAGATCAAGCAAGTGGCTGGGTCCAGCGGTCCAGGAGCATTAGGATCCATTATCTCATGTAAACGGGATCTCCAAAAATTGCTTCTTTTTCTACATGAAAAGATTTCTGCATTGGTTTTCCTCAGAATATTAATTTCTGGCCCAAACAGTTGTGTGAGAATGAATAAAGGTGAAGTACGTATATCTGACATATTAGAGGATATGAGCATAGAGTTTGTTGATAACCAGTTCTTCTTTAATTGGTGTTAAGAATGCTGTACTTGGGAGAGCATTATGAACTAATAATTGGACTGAAAGCCATTTGTGATTTAATGGTCACACCAAGTGCCAGTAACCTTCTGCCCTGCTGTGTTTTTATGCTACTTTACTGCTGGTGATGTTTAAAAAATAATAAAAATAATAATAAACTGGCAGTCAGTGTACTCATCAGTTTCCAGCGCTGAACAAATGGATTAAATTAGTCACAGGTTGGAAATCAAGAATAGGAGTATTTTGCCACTTGTACACCAAAGATGATGACCAGCAGGATCAGAATTATTTGCCTGAGCCAATTAGAAGAGCTGGTGAGTAGGTCATTGTTATGGGGCCAGTTTGCAACCTGGATGGTGTGAGACATGCCAGCAGCGCTGGTCCCATTGAAGCAGGGCTTTCAGCAGCAGGGGTAATCCTTGGCAGCTGGCACAAGTACAGGCTCTTTCGCTTGGCATTTTTTGTTTCACATACTACAGTAAGCAGCACAACAGCCTTGCAGCAATTGGACTTGAATGGTTTTTGCCGTCTGGCTTGTGGTGTTTACATAAAGCTCAGGGAGGAGGAGAGTCCCTTTGGAAATAAAGTTTGCTGTTGGACTGCTCTCTTTAAAATGCCCGAAAGCAGTGCAACATCTCTAGAGGGAAGGCCCTGCACCACCACAAAATACTTGTGGGATCCCTGGGTAGCTGCCAAAAGTCCTGGTTATTTGTAGGAGGCAACTGAGAATTACTGCTGAAGTGTTAGCCTTCAAAAATGCATCAGAAGCATTTTTACATCCATCACGTGGTTACTGCTAAACTTCCCATGATGTATGGATGTTCATATGATCCTATTTGCATAGCCTCAGCTGAAAGGGTGTTGGCTTCTTGTTGCTGAAGCTAGGAGTAGGCAGTAGGAGGCCTGACTTCTTCAAAGGACACTCTGCAAAACCACTTTTCTTATGAGTTTCAGACTCCGTCTCTCTTTTGTATAAACTTTTTAGGTGAGCATTGGTCAAGCACTGAGAAATGCCCTAAAGCAGCTACTTACAAATCTAGTTTAATGTTAGGTGTCTTCTAATATACAGATTTCAGCACGTGTGGGTGGGTGGGTGGGTGGGTGGGTGGGTGGATGGATGGATGGATGGATGGATGGATGGATGGATGGATGGGTAGCGCATACTAAAATCTATCAAGTGCTATCAGTCATTGAGAGAGGAAGAAAAAGCACCAGAGTATATTGAAGGATTTTCCTCCTGTTCTTTTTTTTTTTCCTTAGAATGTTACTTTATTAAGGTAGAAGCTTGCAGTATCCAAACAAGGAGGCGCTTTTAAATTTTCCTTTTTACTGAAAGGCAGAGGCAACATTAAGAGAAAGAAAGGCTTATTTATGTTGTGGAAGTCAGTGTAAGAAGATGGACAGCAATACAAATGCTGTGGCTGAAATTAAATAAGTCTCATTTCAACAAATTGAATATTATTTGCTAGCTTAACTCTTTGTTCTTTGCCTGATTGACCAGGAAAAGTCCCTTGCTCTCCATGCTTAGCTGTAGCTCTGCACAAGCAGCCAGATGAATAGCAGTAGGGGAAGGGAGTAGTTGTGCTACTTTGATCAATCGGCTATGTTCAGTTCTGGAACAAGGCTGTAGTTTGGATTGGCACGTCTTTGGCTATATTTTTATTATTCTTTCCTTCGTCCAAAACACCTGCCATCATTATGCAAGGCTACAGCAAAAACTTGTCACTCCTCAGGTGAATAAACATAAGTTGTGTTGAAAATCTACTGCTTTGTTTTAATGAGGTATTGATCAGCAGGGTAAAGACCTCAGCTTATTTGATGCCTTTATAATGCTTTGCTTTTCTTTTTTATTTTAAATGCATTTATTATGTTAAAAACTAGTTAAGAAGCAATACCTTAGAGAGCAATATTTTGAGGAGGAAAGCTGCTGCATGTAAAGCAGCATGCAAAATCCAAGAGTGAAAGGGAAAATTTGAATGTTTTCAGCCATACCAACAGCAGAAACTGAAAATAATGAGATCCTTTTTCATCAATATTTTAGACTTCTCAGATCAAAAGAGGCCATATGTTATGCAACGCATGATTCAACTTGAAATTCAGTGTGTGTTCTTTGGGCAGCTATCCTCAGTTCAGCTGAAAGTTTTGGGAGGTACCTAATAGTTGCAATAGTTGTCATGCTTCATAAAACCCAAAGCAGATTGAACAAAAATAGATGTTGATAGCACCAAGGGACAGGAGTCTTTGAGTTATTTCTGTATACCTACAAGTACAGTGAAAGTAATAGATATTGAGGCTAAAATGGACCTTAATACCTAGTCTGACCTACTGTAAATAACAAGGCAAAAAGTTGCACTCCTCCTACCTTCACATCCATATATACTTTGCAGAAATGTGGCCAGTTTTGACTTAAACATATAAAAGCTAAGGGGAGCAGTCCCAACCAGTCTCCCTATGTCTGCTTCCATGTTTTATCCCATGATTATGCTACTGAGCACAAACGTTTCTAAAAAGCTTTTTAATAGAGATGTGTTTTTCTGCAAACTGCAGGTGATCGATATATCAGGCCTTGTTCTGCTTTCTTGTGCAGTGAGTTAGTTCTTTATTACTACAGCACTGTCCTTATTTACCAGCCAGAGACTTGAGGACTTCTAATGCTATTGCTATGAAGTCACCCAATGTCCAGCCCTTGTGCACTTCTTGGCCCTTCCACTGACACCTGCCTTTTGTCTTCCTTCACAGAAAATCCTGACCATGATCCCAACTGAGGAGGAGAAGCAAAAGATCCAGGAGGCACAGCTGGCAAACCCCGATGTCCCCCTGGGCAGTGCCGAGCAATTCCTTCTCACCCTCTCCTCCATCAGTGAACTCTCTGCCAGGCTCCAGCTCTGGGCTTTCAAGATGGACTATGAGATAGTGGAAAAGGTGAGAAAAAAGCAGGGAGGCATGGGTGGGGACTCTTTGGAGACTTTGCTTTAATCTTTGCCTGACCTTGTTGTTATATGAGTGTCTATTTTGAGGAAATGGTAAATGGGTCACTTCTGTTTCAGTGGCCAACCGGGAAACAGCTAAAATGATCCTTCATAACCTGTTCTTCTTATAAAAGAAAATTAGAGATTATGTCTTCCTTCCTTTAATTTGTCAGTAATGACATCGAAACAAAGAAGAGGGCTAAATTCTTACATCTTCTCCAGATATTGTTATTCAGGAAATTCTTACGTCAGAGCAGTAAGAATTTTTTTTTTGGATAAAAACTGAATGAGGACTACAGTATTCAGCCTTATATCATACAATGAGAGTATTGATCTTACATCCATTTGAACTAAGGAAAACACTATCCATTAAAGTTTCTTCTGTTTATAACTAGCATTCAAAGTTATAAACAAAAGATAAGACAACCTTCAGGAGTCTCCTGTTAAGTCACAGACAGTTTTTGCCACCTTCTTCATAGATGGCATTTATTCAGATAACAATGTAATTGCATTGTCTGTCATGAGTGATGAATCCCAGATAAATATTTCAAAATGACAATGTATAACTTTGATGCATAGGTGAAAGAGAATGAAACTCTAGGCAATTTCAGCTACTTGCTGACTTTCACAAGCTCTTTCAGCAGTCTAGCACAGGAACCTCATCTGGCTGCACTTCTAGTGCATATCCCATGCATTCTCTTCAAGCAACTCTTTTCTGTATATAGTAATAATGTTTGTGTATCTGTCCACATATGTGTATATTAAAAAATCAGTATAACTATATGTGATATGGATTCTGAGAGGTGGAACTTGCTTCTGAAAATGCCTAATGTTTACCTAGCCATGGTTATTTAATAAGGTACACAACAGTGAATTGACTCACAGATGATAGTGTCAAGATTACTCAACCTCTGCTTAATTTTCTTAGACTTTAGGAAATGCAGTCACACTAATACTCAGGATTTTTCAATTGTGATGTTTTAGTTTAAGACATTTATATTTCTGACTTGTAAAACTTAAAATATTTGTATCTAACCTGAAGGTTTTTTTTTTTTTTTTTTTTTTTTGTCATTAGGGTATTTTTTTGTCAGTTGGCTGTTTTATATTTTTTGTCAGTTGGCTGTTTTAGGGGCTTGGGAGGGGATGGTTAGGTTTTTTACTCTGCTACAGTTATTTGTTCTGCTTTGAAGTTACCACAAGGCTAATGCATTCCTTTCATATAAGCCGAGTTAGCTGTAGTTGTTAATCTATGTGTATACCTAGGACATATATCTTCCAGTTGAAAATAGCATTTGAAGCACTGCTAAAAGCTAAAGAAATTTTGAGTTTTCCTGTTGCTTATCCTATAATGTTTATGCCACAGAGTTAATGAATTGCCGGAATTGTAGAATGAATGCTAGGATAAAATGTCGCAAATACCTAAATTACTCAAAGAAGCAATAGCTGCAGTGAAGATAGAATCATAGAATCATAGAATAGTTAGGGTTCGAAAGGACCTTTAAGATCATCTAGTTCCAACCCCCCTGCCATGGGCAGGGACAACTCCCACTAAGCCACGTCACCCAAGGCTCTGTCCAACCTGACCTTGAACACCACCAGGGATGGAGCATTCACAACTTCCCTTGGCAGCCCATTCCAGTGCCTCACCAGTATTTTTATCCCTGTTGAAAGGTAGATAGGCTAAAGTACAGGACTTACCATAAAATGGTGCAAGAAATAACATATGATAACTGTGATACATAAAGAGGAGCATGTGATATGAAGCCTACGAGACAAGCATCAATAAGACAGCTTGGGTTTTAGTTCAGTGGAGAGGAAGATATGTGGCCAGACATCAGAGGTAAGAGAGAGAGAGAGTGCAGCTGGGTGCCTCCAGTAACAAAAATTTTAAGTCAGACTTTAAATTCCAGGTAACCAATAAATATAAACATTCTTTAGACTGAGTTAAGGTACCATGAGCATATTCAATTAAAAAATGAAGTAGTCTGCATTAGTGATTATCATAATAAAAGAGTCCCATGATCTGCTAACTTTTTCTGTTCTTGAATCTACATTTTTGCAGAAGATCCATCTGCAAATGGGCAAACCCTTAGGTGCCAAATCATTCTGGTTCACAGTTTTTGTAATTTTTTCATCCAGCATCTGCTTGATTTTTTTAAATTTATTTTAAAATTAGGAAAATCCAAAACAGTTCAGAATGTATTCATATTATTTATTGGATCACACATATATTTCATGTAAGAACTTAATGAACATTACTATTATTACTGTGAAGCTGGAAAATTTAGATGGACAACACCATGAAATAACTGAGTTGTTGATGTCAGGCTGGGGTTCTCATCCATGAGACTCTTTTGCTCATCATCCGAGAACAGAGTTTTGCCTAAGCAGGTCTTAGCTTCATCTCTATCAACCTGAAAGAAAACCAGCAGGAAATTGCTCAAGAAAAGGGTTAAGTGAGGTATTGTTTATGCCTGCAGAAAAACCTTCTATGCATAATGGAGTAATCTTCCTTGGATTGAATTTAATTAACTAAAGCAAGTCAGAGTACATTTGCAGCCTCAGACTGTGAGGGGTTGAACTGAATGGATGGTCATTCTTTGGTCTTTTCAGAAAATTAAAAAGAAATCTCTTTTCCAATCATCTGTTTTATAATGTGTATACTGTTTTAAAACGTTAATATGTACCTAAGGTGCTGTATGCCTACTGAAGGTTATCAGTGGCACAATAGTTATTCTCGCTATAGGCGTAGACAAAAAGAGCTTCAATTTTAAATCTTCATTTTCAGACTTTTGATTGCTGTGAGAATTTACACTTTATTACTACCAGTTCTTTGTACTAAACTATTATGATGTGGATGATGTCAATTTTCATTATCTCAAAGGGAATTTAAGAGTCTTAGAAAAAGGAATAGAATCTTTAGTTGTCCTAAATCGGATTTTTTTTTTCTTAAGGACACTGTGGGCAAATATATCCTTATTGCTGACAACTTTAAAGGATCATAAATTAATATAAGGAGGTGTAGAGCTCAGAAAAGTAGAAATTGTAAAGAAAAAGACTTGCTTCAGTTTCTTTTCTGAGCAGAAAGATTATTCCCGACTCCAGTCTCCCTAGAGACAGTGTGCTATGTGATCTTTGTGCTCTTATCTATAGTAAAATAGCACTACAGTTGTTGACTGACCCACTGTATTTCTCTAAGAAAGTGAAGTTCTCAGCTATTTTGCCTCTTGGTCTGAAATAAGCGTTCAAAAAGGTTGTACTTCTGGGTGATGCTTGAACTGTCTGAAAATTTGTAAAGTGCATCACAGTTTTTTAAGTTTTACAGTATCATCCTGATACTTTCTGTTGTTTAAAAAAGTTATGATAATTTATGCAGGCTAGACTTAATTAAATGGAAGCATGGCAAGTTACATTTTGGTCATCTCAAAGTTCTCATCCCAACCAAGATTTTATCCTTCCCAGAAAAGCATGACATGAAGTTGTAGAGGTGTAGTTAGCTGAACTTAATACTAGTGTAGCAGGTTGCTAACAGTGCATATGTCAGATCAGCTGAGCAGAACACATGTGCTACATCCTTCCTGTCCCAGGTCCAGTGGATTCATTGCATGCATATGGTTGAGTTCATTTGTGCATGTGCATCAAGCATTCATTAGGTATTATCAGATGTCTTGCAGCCAGAAATTCTGGACCAATCCTCAAATTTCATTCAAGTATAATTTTTAGGTAAAAAATAAATATGTGATAAATAAGGATACATGGTATCTAAGGATATGCGGTAGCTCTGCAGTGCGTATCTACTCTCTTTATACGGAAGGTGAGTTTTATAGGAAGCAAAAAAAGGTATTTCATCTGATTATACACTGGTTTGTGTTGGGTTTTAGTGCTACAGAAAAATAAAAAATAAAGATTATTTATAACTGTACTCTCTGCAACATAGTCTAAGCTTGTATACCTTCCATGTAAATAGCTAAATGAAGGGCTACAGCATGGCCTGCTTTGAAAGCCTTCAATGTAATCTTTTTATTCGCCTTCAGAATATTTTAAATTAACCTTTTAGGAACGATTTTTTTAACAGGTTGCAAATTGATACAAGTAAAATAGTTCAAAAGCCTGTGTTCAAAGTACAGATGCAGAACAGTTTGATTCAACTCCATGATGAACAAAGCAACTAAATCAACCCTGACTTTAAATTAATTCAAAGAAATATGTGCAGTAGTTTCTCAATTTTAGTTTTAACTTGACAAAGTCTTGGATTATTTAGTACCTCTCCTCTGATATAAAAATTACGTTGCTCACTATGCCATCTCATAATTTGTCTTGAATTTGCTGTATTTCTGTTTTCAAGGGATGCATTGTTCTTGAGTGACTAGAAATATCTGTTTCTTTTATCATTGTGCTCTTATTTATGGTAAAATAGCACTACAGTTGTTGAATGACCTACTGTATTTCTCTAAGAAAGTGAAGTTCTCGGCTATTTTGCCTCTTGGTCTGAAACAACAGCTTAATTTTGGCTTCTTGGCTCATAAAGAGTGTAACAATTTGGGAAAAGAATGCTGCTCACAGATGCTTAGGATGGTATTTGGAGATAGAAACAATGTGAACTGTTACTGTGCATACAAAATAAATAACCCTGGGCCTCACACAAAGACATGGAAATAAGCTCTGTCAACTCAATTACCCTCATTCTCTTCCTTTGAACTCTCTGGTGTGTAGTTCACTTCCCGAGGTAATGGAACAGAATTTATGTTTTCAAGCCTTATCAGTTTACATACCTATACTCAGATAACATGTGTGAATGGAAGATGCATTGAGTTCAAAGATTAAAATGAGAACACTTGTAAAGGTTGATGATTACAGTAGTGAGTTGGGTTTTTTTTAAGTTTTAAAGTCACACAAGCACAAAACACATCTAAAACTCAAAGGTGGCCATAATTGGAAGAAAGTTCTAGGGTCAGGCTACCAATGACAAGTTTAACCTTTTTTTATTAGGTTTTCAAAGAAACTATATTTATAAGAAGCTTTTTTGTCATTTGAGGCAGGGGGGTGTTCATGAATGAAACTCCAATGCAGCAGCCCCTTCTGATTTTCTTTCCTGTTTAGAATCAGAGAATAATCTCCAGGACAAGTAAGGCAATTGCATACATAAAAAACAACATTAGGAAACTATTTTATGTTTTGGGTTGATTTTTTTTTCTCTCCTTGCATGTGATTTATTAGCTGGAACATGGAAGAAAGCCAGCACACATGGCCAGTTTGCACTCTGCAAGACGCCAGTTCAGACCTTTTTTCAGTAATTAATCTAAACCATAGAATTAAAAATTTAAAGCAGCTATAGCCAAGTGCAGCCTTTACTTTCTTGTTTTTCTTATGGCAGGAAGTTGCAGAGCCACTTCTAGACCTGAAGGAAGGAATGGACCAACTAGAGCACAATAAAACTTTGGGATTTATCCTTTCTACTCTGCTAGCCATTGGCAACTTTTTGAATGGAACCAATGTAAGTCTGATTCCCCAGCATTTCACCTGAACCTTTTTCCTTCAGAAAAACAGAAGTCAAAACTGTAATGGCAGTTGCAACACAGTATTTATTTTTAACCAGAAAAATAATCTGGAAAAAAGAATCTATTTTGTCTTTTTATTGTGTGTCAGGTTGTTCTTTGCCTCTTTTACTATAACCTGAAGGAAATGTGGCTCTAGGCATTCTTCTGGTATAACTCCCTTGAGTTTAATATTGATGCTTCCCATTTTAATTGTGAGAACTGTGTCATGAGTCTTTTCACTGCAGATGGACTGATTTTAGGCCTATTCTTCAACAACTTAAAAATAAGTAAAAGCAGTAAGTTCCTTCTCCTGTAAGACTCTTCTTTCTTCCCCCCTGCCCCTACTGGGTAATCATTTTTGTCTAGTAATCTGCATGGGAAGGAGTAAATATTTTTCTTTTTCACTTCTTCCTTTTTTCCCCCTTATAGGCCAAAGCTTTTGAGTTGAGCTACCTCGAGAAGGTTCCAGAAGTCAAGGACACAGTGCACAAGCAGTCCCTCCTGCACCATGTCTGCACTATGGTGGTCGAAAAGTTCCCAGACAGTACTGATCTTTATTCAGAGATCGGGGCCATTACTAGGTCAGCCAAGGTACGTCTAGTGGGTAAATATATATATATGTTTTTAAGGAAAACTCTTTAAAGTGAAATATTTAGGATTTTATTTTAATCTTTGATTTTTGGTCACAGCACTTTTTATGAATGTGGATTCATTGTGTTGTTCCCACTGAATTTCAAGCTCTTCTGAGCTTCATCTGTCTGTCAGGTAGTTTCCTTAACAATACACTAACAGGCAGCCTCGTTATGACAGCCCTTTTAATATTATATACATTATGAATAATGTATGTAACTGTTAGGAACTATTTTCAGGTTAAAACTTTATTTGTCCAGTATCTTCAGATTTATTTATTCTATGGTTTGGGGGAATCTCTTTTTAAGGCAGATACTAATTGTATTTTAAGTGGAAGGAATGATCTTTCTTGTAATAAAATTGTTTCCAGAATTAAAGTGTCCTTGAAATATTTTAACTCATTTTCTGTCCTCCTCCTAACAATAATTTCTGTGATTAGGAGTTAGGGAAGATAAACAGAAGTAAAAGAAACCTGTAGCAGCACCTCTTTTTAAGAAGTGGCATTCCCTTGGCTAATGCATAGGTCTGGTCAATGGCTTGGCTTGGTATGCAGATGATTTATTACTGTTGCTAGCACCTTGTTTGGCTATCAGGGGAAAAGGAAGAACAACATGATCCTGAATAATACAATTTTTAAAAAGATGCGAAACTTAAATCTTATTTTGGTTCCTTGAACAGTTCTTATGACAGTGAATTCATAATCTAATTTTGGCTGCCATTGAATTTGCCAATTCCAGGATTTACTGCGTGAATATATTGAACAGTCAAAACTTTGGTTTTTATCACTATTTCATAGAATAACTTAGGTTGGAAAGGACCTCTGAAAGTCATCTGTTTCATTATCCTCCTCAGTGCAAGACGAAATCAAACCAGGCTGCTCAGATCTGTGTCTGAATCTCACATAATCTTTTTCTTTGTATTTTTTTCCTTTTTGAGATCATTTCCACACTTCTTCTCCATCTTACTCTTTAGAATGGGTTAAACTATAGCAAACACAGTATTTCAACCTCTTCTTAGAAATGTTGAATGCTTAGTATATTGTCCCATTCTGCTTGTGCTATGTTTTGTTAGCTGTCCTGAGGTTTTCTTTGTGTTTTTTGACTGTTGCTATCCTTTTGACACCAACTGTCTTTGGCCAGTTCACAAGGACATTCAGGCAGCCTTCTGAGCTGATCAGGCAATTCAGAACTTAACCCAGTGCACAAAGGAGTTTGGTACTGGCAGCAGTGTGCTCTTCATTGTGATCTACAGTAATGAGCATGATCTGCTGAAACAGATTTACTGCTTATCTCTCAATTCCCTAATAATCTTAAATAAGGACTAATCTACATAATTTCCTGCCATCTGTACATTTTACTCTCTCAGTCTGCTTCCTTGTTTTCCAGATAATTTTGAATTACAAAGTGCAAACGATGAGACACCTGCTGTTCACCCTGTCATCAGATGAGAATCAATATGTATTCCTTTTCTTTTTCTCTCTTAACCTTACACTTCATAGGTTGCCTTCCATGAGGGTCTTGTAAAATTTTAGAAGTCTGATTTTCTTTACTTGCTCTTGCCTGTCCACTATTTTATAAACATACTCAGAATGTAGTGACTGATGTATTTAATTCCCTGTTATTCATCCAGGTTACCAGGTAGTGATAAAGTTTAGAGCTCTGCAATCTCCTGAATCAAACTTCCTGCACTTGTAAGGATCGGCGAAACTTTGCTATTCTCTGAGTCTTAAAGTTACTAAGTGTAGTGAAAGCATGCCCATTCAGCCAGCGGTTCAGTTTCTTTATGTTATTTGATGTCAGAATTCTTGTCTTCTGCTAGTTTACTGCTTTGTAAGATACCCTCCTCCAACACGTTTGTTTTTATCAAGTCTTCAAACCTTGCTATTAGTTCACTTTTATTAAAAAATAAAATACAGAAACATCAGGTACCAGAATAGGTTTCTCCCCAACATCCTTCTTTCCCTTCCCTTGCTTTTGTCTTCTTCAGTTTTTTCATCCCCAGTGATGCAGGACCCCCTACATATTTTCCTTTTTTTTTTTTTTTTCTTGGATTCCATAAAGGAATTTGTGGCTTTTGTTTTATATCCTTAGATATTTGCTCTTTGGATTCCATCTCTCTTCGCCTCATTTTCCTCTTGCACAGCCTATGTTTAGGCTCTGTTTTATTGCATTCACTGTGGTTGGTTTCTCTCATGTTTGTAAGGGTTTGGTTTTGTCTTTTTTTTTTTCCCTTTGAGTGATTCTTATTCTCTTAACATTTCACTATATTGGTTTCTACTTTCCTGCTTCTTCTTTTTGTTAAGAAGTTACTTCACTTTAGTTTTAGATTGGGAGCAAGTTAATCACTAAAATTTAAATTATCATAAAAAAGAAGAACCTTTGTTTTCCAAAATCAAAATCCACACCACTGTGTATGGTGTACTCTCAAGTGAATCTTGTATTTTTCACTCTTAGAAAGTGTAAGAAAGCTTAACCTAATGCTGTCACTTATAAACAATTTTTAGGTCTAAGAGCGTGCAAGACTGAGCACAGTCTTTCAGTCTGTGGTTTGCTGATCTAGTGGCCCTGCCCAAAGCGGATGAAACTCTGGAAAGGCCAGACAAAATCACATTAAGAGAAATTATAGCTTTAACCTTCCCCTTGATGCCCAAGGTCTCCCTCCTTGGGATGTTCCTCCATGTGTTATACCACTGATAGATTACTGTAACAAACTCTATTCCCACTTGATCTTAACAGCCACAAATCAAAGACTTAGGACATGGAAGCCATCCAAGCTGCCCTCTTCAAGGGAACGTTCATAGACGAGGCGAAATCTTGGTTTAGGAAAGCTGACAGGAAAGGAGAAGTAATATTTCACTGTGGATTAGACTGTATTTTGAGCTCCATTTTGTCTACAAACATCTTTCAGAAACCACAAAGGCTGAGCAGTTTCCATCCTGTAGATAAATAGAGATGCCCCTTCCCCTGAGATGCGCATCATATGAGAATTTCCGGAGTCTTAAGTCATGAAAAAAAAACATAAAGAAAATAGGCTGCCTCACCAGAAAGGAGTTAGACCAGAAACAAAACGGTACAGTTATTTCAAAACTTGTGGGTTTTGTTGAAGGACTGAAGTCATAAATGGCAAAAGAAAAGCAGACACAAGTGGAAAAATTACCAAAAAAAGAATTATAGATAAATAAAATGTATTCATAGTTGTATAAGAGTATATAAGATCGTGCAGGGCACTGATTGTTTAGCATGCCATGATTTGATGTACTTCCCTTTCTTTTCTTTTCCTCTCCCTCCCTCCCCCCAACATATTGCAAGTTGTTTTTTCACTGGAGCTGTACCAGAACTGATGTACCTAATACTGAAGCAGACCCCCAGATTTCTGCAGTTAAATTCAGTATTGTTCCTAGAAGTTTCCTTATCAGTAGGGTAAGGAGGGGTTGCATCAGCGCTAGTCTCTTCTCTGTTAGTTAATAAAAAATATATTCTTATTAAAAAAGCTCATCTTCTCTCTCTACCCCAAAAGTGTCTTCCCCATGCATATGAAAGCTGACCAGCTCCATAGAGTAAACTAGTAATTGTCCTTTTCTTAACCTAATTTTCATTTACTTACAAGATATCAAACTTCTGGCTGTTTTAAACCCCTGCAGCAGAATGCTTTGATTATCTGCAGATATTAGGCAGGGGAGAAGCAGGGAGCTTTTGAAAGTAAGCAGTAGGAAATGTTAACAGCACAGGGGAAGGGGCAAGGACTGTGGGTAGAAAAGAAGTCCCGACGAGACTAAGATATACACAAGGGAGAAAGAAGCCTGCAGCTGCCCTCTGAGGTGCTTGGCAAGGAGTCAGGGGTAGCAAGGAAGTGTTTGAAACAAGTACCATTCTGGCATGCTGTAGCTTCTGCTTGATACACTGGAAATCAGAGAAAGGAGGGAAGATCATGCTGTCTCGTGTGCTGATTCAGTAGGATTTCTCTTGTCTTACTTCACAGGAGGTATTTGTATGCAATTTTCATTCAAGTATGCTTTCCTTATGTTTCCCTAATTCAAACAGAAATAAATGCCAAAAGTCTAACTATTTTCCATGGAAAAAAAAAAGGGTTGGGGGATGCAAGTTTCTTACAGTTGTGTCATTCCTCGTGGTGCCAGCTGCAAGGACTGCTACAGCTGTTCCAGTTCCTGGCACCAGCTAGCGGGTGCAAAGATGAAGACAGAGCAGGATAAGGCAGATCCTGCTAGTTGCAAGGCAGACTGGGGTGAGGGGAAAGAGCTTCAGTGGCAAATGAGACTTCAAGGCTTTACCTGAAAGAGGACAAATGAAGTTTAGCATGTGTGCCTGACCGCACTGTGATGTTTCAGTAATGTTCCAGGTGACTGTAAATAGTGTCGTAGGTGCTGTAACACCATCTGAAGGGACCTATATCATGACTTAACTGGTATGGTTCCTATTCATCCCAGAGTGTAGGAGCTCATACAGCATCTGCAGAAAGATCCCATATTGGTATGTTTATTATAGATTAAGGAACTAAAATCTAGTGGGAATGTGTATATAATTGGGCAGACTCATCTGATCAAACCTCAGTGAGCACTTATGTCCTTTAGTTTTTAATTAGTGTATTGATGCAGGTGTTCTTATTTCCAAAATTATTTTGGCAGGATGCCACCTCTTACCCTAGAATTAGAAATGTCTGGACAGAACCTCCTTTATATTTTGCTTACTTTTGAGAGCTGGCATCTATTTCACTTAAAATGTGTGACCAACAGAGTGAAAGTAGGACTAACACTGATCTTGGGATGCTTCACTGAGTGTCACAAGACTTAAGGCAGTGTGAAAATGCTGGAGGAGACAGCGTTTTGAACATATGCCACAGAAGGTCGCTGTACTCAGATGACAGTGTGTTTGCAAGGAGCGATTCTCAGAATTTCCTTTGGCTTTGAACCAACTCAGGAAAAGAGGAAGATTTTGTGTTCCCTG